GGCCGTCCCCGAGGCCGGAGTCGGCGCGCGTCTGGAGCCGCGCGTCAAGGGGGGGGTACTGTCACGGTTTCGGCCGAGGCTGCCTCTCCTCCTTGTTCGGGCAGGCTTCGGCGCTCGTCGTCTCCGGAATTCTAGCTGCCACCGATAGATGTTTCATGTTCGTTTGCTTTTGTCTGTTTGTGTCACACCTGTTTCTGTTGTACGTAATTAGTGTCCTATAAGTGTCTCGTTGTGTTTGTCATGTGTTGTGTATGATTGTTTTTCGTCAGTGTTGTGTTTTGCTCGGTTGAGCATATTTTCTCCACTGCGCTGGAGCACTGTTGCACTTGTTCGTGCACCACTTCGTTTGTCGCACCTGTTTGTGCGCATTTGCCTTTTCGCCTTGTGCGTAGTTTAGCTGTTGGGCTTAGTTGTCCTGTTGCCTGTGTTGGGCCAGAAATACAGCATTTGGAACCTACCGTCGGCGTCCTGCATTTGATTTCCTACACTACACCTACACACGCCCTGACAGTAATGAGCATAAATAAAACAAAGCTGCGCTCAAGGCTCACGCACAAGCACTTGAATCACATCCTGAAGTTGGCTGCCACTCAGGATGTGACGCCTGATATTGATGCGCTGGTGAAAGCTAAAAGATGCCAGGTATCAGGAGTCAAATAAACTATGCAACCCCACTTAATGTCACGCCCTGGCTCTGGGGACTCTAGTATGTTGAGCCAGGGTGTGAGTTTTCATGTGTTTCTGTTCTAGTGAGTTGTATTTCTATGTTGGCCAGTGTGGTTCTCAATCAGAGGCAACGTGTATCAGCTGTTGCTTGTTGTCTCTGATTGAGAACCATACTTAAGCAGCCAGTTTTCCCACAGTGTTTGTGGGATCTTGTTCCAAGTAGGTTGTGTTTGATCCAAGGACGTCACGTTATCGTGTTGTTGTTTTTGTTCGTGTGATCTTTATTTAATAAATATGTTCGCAAATAACGCTGCGCATTGGTCCTCTGTTCCCGACGATCGTGACAGAAGATCCCACCAAAACTGGACCAAGCAGCGTGTCCAGGAGCCATCGCCAGGAGAATCGCTAGCGGATCTCCGTGGCAACCTCGACTGTGTCAAGCCTAGTGAAGAGCTGAGAGGGTGGACTTGGGAGCAGTGGAGGAAGAGTCTCGACTGGGTCAAGCCAAATGAAGAGCAGAGTGGTTGGACTTTGGAGCAGTGGAGGAAGAGTCTGGCGAGAGATAGGGAGGCTTGGTCCACGGGGAGGAGAGACACCCAGAAATTTTTTAGGGGGGGGGGCTCACGCCGTGGACGACGGGGCAGCAGGAGGCCGCGATGGAGCGGTCCAGCGGGTTTGCAGAGGAGGCCGCCAGGTTAAGGGGGCCACTGATCACAGAGGAGAGGGAGAGTGTAGAGGCACGGCGAGAGGTACTGGGGTGTGTTACCAGTCCGGTCCGGCCCATTCCTGATCCCTGCGTAGGGCCAGTGGTGTGTGTCCCCAGTACGGTCCGGCCTGTTCCTGTTCCTCGCATCAAGCCTGTGGTGCGTGTCGTCAGCCCGGCCCGGCCTGTTCCTGCTCCCCGCACCGAGCCTATGATGCGCGTCGCCAGCCCGGCCTGTTCCTGCTCCCCGCACCAAGCCTATGGTGCGCGTCGTCAGCCCGGTCCGGCCCGTTCCTGCTCCCCGCACCAAGCCTATGGTGCGCGTCGCCAGCCCGGCCCGTTCCTGCTCCCCGCACCGAGCCTATGGTGCGCGTCGCCAGCCCGGCCCGGCCTGTTCCTGCTCCCCGCACCAAGCCTATGGTGCGCTTCGTCAGCCCGGTCCGGCCCGTTCCTGCTCCCCGCACCAAGCCTATGGTGCGCGTTGCCAGCCCGGCCTGTTCCTGCTCCCGGCACCAAGCCTATGGTGCGCTTCGTCAGCCCGGTCCGGCCTGTTCCTGCTCCCCGCACCAAGCCTATGGTGCGCGTTGCCAACCCGGCCCGGACTGTTCCTGCTCCCCGCACCAAGTCAGTGGTGCACGTCGCCAGCCCGGCCCGGTCCATTCCTGCTCTCTGCACCAAGTCAGTGGTGTGCGTCGTCAGTCCGGCACAGCCCGTGCCTGTTCCACCGGTGCCTGGTCCGGTACCGGTCAGCTGCTCCACCAGTGTTCAGTCCAGCTCTGGCCAGCTGGGGGGTTAGAGAGGGAGTGGGGATCATGCTCGGAGCCGGATCCGCCGCCAAGGCAGAGTGCCCACCCGGTCCCTCCCCTGTGGTGTTTGGTTGGCGCGGTCGGAGTCCGCGCCTTTGGGGGGGGGGGGGGGGGGGTGTACTGTCACACCCTGGCTCTGGGGACTCTAGTATGTTGAGCCAGGGTGTGAGTTTTAATGTGTTTCTGTTCTAGTCAGTTGTATTTCTATGTTGGCCAGTGTGGTTCTCAATCAGAGGCAACGTGTATCAGCTGTTGCTTGTTGTCTCTGATTGAGAACCATACTTAAGCAGCCAGTTTTCCCACAGTGTTTGTGGGATCTTGTTCCAAGTAGGTTGTGTTTGATCAAAGGACGTCACGTTATCGTTTTGTTGTTTTTGTTCGTGTGATCTTTATTTAATAAATATGTTCGCAAATAACGCTGCGCATTGGTCCTCTGTTCCCGACGATCGTGACACTTAAAGTGCTGCATGAGACACCCTGATATAGTTCTGTGATCTGTGATATACTTCTGTGAATCACTGAGGCATTGTGTGTTTGTGTGTTTGTCCTCAGAATTTCAAATAACTTGAGGTGTTTTATGATTAATAGTGATGTTGTGCTTTTGGACACACTGTCCTCAGGCTCCAGCTTTATGTTTATATGTTTTTATGTTGATGTGCTATTGTTTTTAATTTATTTTATTTGTATATTTAACCTATTCTTGACTCTGTGGTTCTTGCACTTGCTTGGGGAACAGGATTTCATTATTTGTATCTACATTTACATTTACATTTTAGTCATTTAGCAGACGCTCTTATCCAGAGCGACTTTCTGCCTGAGAAATGACACCCTGATATAGATCTGTGAAACAGTTCTGTGAATCACTGAGGCATTGTGTGTTTGTGTGTTCTTTTTCTTTATAATTTTCAAATAAACTTGACGTGTTTTATGATTAATAGTGATGTTGTGCTTGTACTATTTTGGACACACTGTCCTCAGGCTCCAGCTTTATGTTTTATGTTGATAGTATTAAAACAAAGAAAACAATCTGAAGTTGTTGTTTTTAAGTTATATATACCATGATTTTACCGGTCTGGCCCACTTGGGAATAGATTTTCCTCCATGTGGCCCCTGAGCTAAAATGAGTTTGACACCCCTGATTTAGACCTTCCGTCTCTGGTCCACACTCCAGTCCAGTTGGTGGCGGAAATGCACCTTAAAGTTGGTTGCCAACCGCCATAAAAAAAATCCACAGAAGAAGAAGAACAACAAAACTGACGCATAAGGCACTATGGGGCAAAGCAGACGGGGTTGACAACATGTAAACTATATTTCGTCTCCAGTGTTTATTGAAAACATAAATACATTTGCATATTGAGCACTTGTCTCTCAAATACATCGTTACAGTTAGCTAGCAAGCGAATTTCAGAAATATTAGCATTGACATGAAATCATTCAAAACAAGACATGGTATCAATAACATGATGAAACAAGTCACTACGATTCCCCACATGTCAGTCTCTTGTCATTGTTGGTAGCTATCTGGCTATCCAGAATTACAACAACTCATGGACTTCTGCCCCATTGACGCGTGCGTATCGTTTTCGTGACGTTGTCAGCTAAGCCATTCATGACAAGGCGCATCATTCACCCAAGTTTAATCAAAATCAGTCCAGTGCTGTCTGAGATATTGCGTGTGGTGTGACCAGTGGCGATTTTAACATGTAAATGCAGCAAGCAGCAAACTCTATGTGGGGATACATGACAGCAAAGCCAATATACAACACTAAACAATATATTAATTCCACTATAACAGTGACAAACGGTGCTCACAAACGGTTAGGGCCTACATAAAGCTATCCCACCATGGAGTGAATCCTTACCCTCCGCAACACCTGGCTGGCAGCGAAACAGTTCATTCAGCCTCATTTACTGCCTTAAAAAAAAAAACTGCTGATATGGCTGACTTGCTTCAACAAATGTGGTTTCTATTGACAATTGAGATGTACAAACTATGGCATAAGGGAACGATTAGCAGATAAGAGGCAATCCGTAATTTCGATTAATACATTAATGAGCGACCTAAGACGGACATGGTCAATATAACTATTTTCAGCACTTTTTAAATGTACAGCGACAGAATTCAGAACATGGGCCGTTCTTACAGTATTCTCCCTGTACACCAAGTCAGAACCGTATGATAAATAAAGGGGGAATATAAGCAGACAATGAAAGCTCTTACAATATTTGATGATGACATTTCACTCAAACTACATGTGCACCACCAAGTCAGAACAGTAGGCTAAGTTATGAGGGGGAAAGGGACCAATTAAATAGGGTGAGGCACATCGGCTACTAACAGCTTACTACACAACATACACTTAGTGTTACTTTCTTAGTTACAGTACACATATCTCCCTGGCATATTACATTATTTATGCTGCAGCATACAATACATTGTTGGACTCACCGTTGTTGTGCTGTGCTCACTTGAACAGGAAGGTGGCGCGGCGGTCCTTCTACTGGGCAAATTTGGTCATGAAACTCTCATCAAAGTCTGGCATTCTCTGGATTTATGGCGCTTTCAAGACAGCTGGGAACTCTTTCCCCCACAGTCCCCTCCCCGATTTCATCGTGGTATACAATAACAGCCCAAAACAACAACTCTTATTTGGGGGAATGTAATGTCATTACATAAGAGAGGTTGATGGAACCAAAGACAATTAGAGGTGGAGGGAGGCAAAGACGAGAGCAAAAGATCGCATAGAAAATACTACAATACCCATAATGCATAGTTTGAGGACATGCCTTGTAGCATATTGTGGGCACATGCGCTGTTCTTGTGGATGAGCCGGTGTATCATGGCGACATACGTGGATATTCTGAAGAGCGAGTTTCCCGAAATTGACACCGAAGTGTTCGAATATATCACGGGTAAGAGACTGTAAATGAATGGAGAGGGTGTGTGGATCTCGTAGACTTTGAAATGCCACGGTCTAGATGAGTGGCGGACGGCTTCTTCTCCTCTTCCACGTGAAGTAAGGTTAGCTAGCATAGCCGTCCCACAGAGTTGAGGCTCAGTCAAGCCAAGGCAGGAGAGACTAGCTAACATGCTGGTAGTTATTTTATAATCGGTCCGTTTGAACCACTAACCGGATGATCTAGGCTAACTAACTTATTGCCATGAATTACTAGCCAACTAGCTGCTTCTGTGTACGTTTACTGACATGTAATAGTACATGGGACTTAGTTATATAGCGCTTTAAGGACACAAAGTCGCAAAACAAAAAGAATGGAGTCAAAACATCAGCCTAAACATGAACAAAGAGAGGGGTGGGCTCAAGGAAGGGAAAGCGTAATCTATTAGTGTATGGGGAGGCTGGGGTTTGGATATGAGTCCGGTTTAAATTGGGTTTTCACCAATTCCGAATTCGTCAGACGAAGGGGGCACGCGGTGCAAGGCGCAGGGGATTGTGGGAAGGTGAGCGGCGAGAATCGTACAAGCCGAGCGTTAGAAAAAGTTATGCCTCGGTCACACCGACAGTCGTAGCATTTTGATACATTAGAAGTACATTCATTTCCAATGGAACGCTGCGTTTGTCTTGCAGCGTTGCAGAGCGTTCTGTGTGGTGCATCGGATTAATCGAACATACGTGTCAAATGGTATACATATACAACTTGACAGAAATGGCAGCAGAAGGTGAATGTTGAACTTTTATTGCACACATATCTAGATGATGCTGCATGACTACTTTATGCAAATTGCACGCTGCCACCGCTGCCATTAACCAATCAGGTGAGGAGCAAATGTTTGCTTGAAAATCTTCAGTTCATGAAACAGTTCTGCCTGTCATTTGTTCTGGTCTCCTGAGTGGCGCAGTGGTCTAAGGCACTGCATCGCAGTGCTAACCGTGCCACTAGAGATCCTGGTTCGAATCCAGGCTCTGTCGCAGCCGGCCGCGACCGGGAGACTCATGGGCGGCGCACAATTGGCCCAGCGTCGTCCAGGGTAGGGGAGGGAATGGCCGGTAGGGATGTAGCTCAGTTGATAGAGCATGGCGTTTGTGGGTTCGATTCCCACGGGGGGCCAGTATAAAAAAATATGTATTCACTAATTGTAAGTCGCTCTGGATAAGAGCGTCTGCTAAATGACTAAAATGTAAATGTTCTGGGCAAGCAAAACCAAAAAAGATGGAGGAAAGCCAATCATCGCTGTGTCTGGTTTTCCAATTCTATATTATGTCGCTTTGCTAGATAGAATACAGAGACAAAATCAGAAGGTCAATGGCATTGAGGAGGATTGTGGGTGAAGAGAGATTTGCACAACAATTAGTGCTGAGCGATTACCCAAAATGTCGGTTATTTTTATTTTATTAAATAACTAATTGACTAATGTCGGTTCAATTATTTGAATTCCATTTCATTCAATTTTTTTCTGTGAGCTCAATGTGCACATTGAACAGTTTTTCTCGAGATAAATCAGATCCATCCTAACTGTGTGATGTAGTAGGGAGTTGTATTTTCCAACAGGCCAATATTCTACATAGTTTAGCGCATAATTAACTACAATGACCATAATCCATTGCGCATCTACTTGTCTGGTCTGTGTTTCTTTTAGGCCTGCAATGGAAGAGACAAAAGAATGCGTGATCGTGAGGGGATATAGAGAGCATCTGTTGCTTCGCGAGGTATCTCTACCTGAAAATACCTGATCTAAGTGATTGATAGTTGGTATTCAGCAGTCATAAAAGTATGCTTTATTTACTTTGAAGAACTACAAAATTGTGATTTAGTCAGACAGCATAGGCAGCAGCTCTATAGAGATGAGATGATGACTTGGAATGAAATAATAAAGTCATCAAATAAAACAAATGTAATATACACAAACTGAAATATTTTATTGAAGTGAATAAATTATGGGTGATAAGCAGTAATGGGCAGTCACTACCATCACGTGACTTTTTTTATTAATTGGTTTATTTTCCTTTTTGATTATTTTTAATTAGCTTACAAATTGTCATTTCCTTATTTTTACAGTACTGAACATATAATACAAGGGTTGGATTGGCCTGTGGCCCTAGGGGGGTCTGTGGCTGCATTGGCGATGCCAAATGATAAGCTGCTAAATGGATTCTCGTAGCTGATATACTGAGAGAGAGTGACAATCAAATAAAACAGATTGGAGAGCTCACAACTTGCCAAAAAGGTCATGTTAGTTTGAGAAAGCAGAAATTGACAAAATAAAGACTGATCACCTTCACCCCTTTTTATTGCTGAATTGTGATCTGTAATTAATGAACATCGACACTAGTTCATCATTAATATTATCTTTAAGTTAATAATTTAAACAAATTTAAACACTTCAATTAATCAACATTGAATGAATCAACATATAATTTCAAAATGTACAAGTAAGTTAACTTGTTTGTAAATGTTAGACATCTTAGTAAGTACGCTATTATTACTAAAGCATAATCTTGGGTGAACTAAAAAATTGTCCATAGCAGAGGTGGCCAACCTTGCTCCACTCTCTAAACTAATGAGTGAGCAGACTTCTATTCCATCCCAGCAATAATACACATATCATTAGGTTTGAAGAGTTGAATCAGGTGTGTTAGTGCTGGGCTGGAACAGAACCCTGCATACCTACATTTACATTTTAGTCATTTAGCAGATGCTGTTATCAAGCGTGATTTACAGTTAGTGCATTCATCTTAGGATAGCTACAGTGGGGAGAACAAGTATTTGATAAACTGCCTATTTTGCACGTTTTCCTACTTACAAAGCATGTAGAGGTCTGTAATTTTTCAAATCCAGAAAATCACATTGTATGATTTTTAAGTAATTCATTTGCATTTTATTGCATGACATAAGTATTTGATACATCAGAAAAGCAGAACTTAATATTTGGTACAGGAACCTTTGTTTGCAATTACAGAGATCATACGTTTCCTGTAGGTCTTGACCAGGTTTGCACACACTGCAGCAGGGATTTTGGCCCACTCCTCCATACAGACCTTCTCCAGATCCTTCAGGTTTCGGGGCTGTCGCTGGGCAATACAGACTTTCAGCTCCCTCCAAAGATTTTCTATTGGGTTCAGGTCTGGAGACTGGCTAGGCCACTCCAGGACCTTGAGATGCTTCTTACGGAGCCACTCCTTAGTTGCCCTGGCTGTGTGTTTCGGGTCGTTGTCATGCTGGAAGACCCAGCCACAACCCATCTTCAGTGCTCTTACTGAGGGAAGGAGGTTGTTGGCCAAGATCTCGCGATACATGGCCCCATCCATCCTCCCCTCAATACGGTGCACTCGTCCTGTCCCCATTGCAGAAAAGCATCCCCAAAGAATGATGTTTCCACCTCCATGCTTCACGGTTGGGATGGTGTTCTTGGGGTTGTACTCATCCTTCTTCTTCCTCCAAACACGGCGAGTGGAGTTTAGACCAAAAAGCTCTATTTTTGTCTCATCAGACCACATGACCTTCTCCCATTCCTCCTCTGGATCATCCAGATGGTCATTGGTAAACTTCAGACGGGCCTGGACATGCGCTGGCTTGAGCAGGGGGACCTTGCGTGCGCTGCAGGATTTTAATCCATGACGGCGTAGTGTGTTACTAATGGTTTTCGTTGAGACTGTGGTCCCAGCTCTCTTCAGGTCATTGACCAGGTCCTGCCGTGTAGTTCTGAGCTGATCCCTCACCTTCCTCATGATCATTGATGCCCCACGAGGTGAGATCTTGCATGGAGACCCAGACCGAGGGTGATTGACCGTCATCTTGAACTTCTTCCATTTTCTAATAATTGCGCCAACAGTTGTTGCCTTCTCACCAAGCTGCTTGCCTATTGTCCTGTAGCCCATCCCAGCCTTGTGCAGGTCTACAATTTTATCCCTGATATCCTTACACAGCTCTCTGGTCTTGGCCATTGTGGAGAGGTTGGATTCTGTTTGTGTGTGGACAGGTGTCTTTTATACAGGTAACAAGTTCAAACAGGTGCAGTTAATACAGGTAATGAGTGGAGAACAGGAGGGCTTCTTAAAGAAAAACTAACAGGTCTGTGAGAGCTGGAATTCTTACTGGTTGGTAGGTGATCAAATACTTATGTCATGCAATAAAATGCAAATTAATTACTTAAAAATCATACAATGTGATTTTCTGGATTTTTGTTTTAGATTCCGTCTCTCACAGTTGAAGTGTTCCTATGATAAAAATTACAGACCTCTACATGCTTTGTAAGTAGGAAACACTGCCGATTTTGCAGGTTATCAAATACTTGTTCTCCCCACTGTAGTTGGGACGACCACATATCACAGGCATAGGAAGTACATTTTTCCTCAAAGTAGCTATCAGTAGTCAGAGCTAGGGGGGAGGGGGTCAAGTGCAAGTGCTGGTTCAGATTTTGTATTTTTATTTTGTGGGGGAGGTGAGAAGGGGGATTATTTAAGACACTGTTTGAACAGGTAGGGTTTCAGAAGATGGGCAGGGACTCTGCTATCCTAGCTTCATGGGGGAGCTGGTTCCACCATTGGGGTGCCAGGACAGATAAAAGCTTGGACTGCGCTGAGCGGGAGCTGCCCTCCCGTAGGGGTGGAAGGCCCATGTGACCTGAGGTGCCAGAATGGAGTGCTTGGCTTGAGGTGTAGGGTTTGAGCATAGCCTGAAGGTAGGGAGGGGCAGTTCCTCTTGCTGTTCCGTAGGTAAGCACCATGGTCTTGTAGTGGATGTGAGCTTCGACTGGATGCCAGTTGAGTGTGCAGAGGAGCGGGGTGAAATGGGAGAACTTGGGAAGGTTGAAACCAGACTGGATGTAGTGTTCTGGATAAGTTGCAGGGTTTTGATGGCATAAGCGGGGAGCCCAGCCAACAGTGAGTTGCAGTAGTCCAGATGGGAGAGGACAAGTGCCTGGATTAGGACCTGCGCTGCTTCCTGTGTGAGGTAGGGTTGTGCTCTACGGATGTTGTAGAGCATGAACCTGCAGGAGCGAGTCACTGCTTTGATGTTTGCAGAGAACGACAGGGTGTTTTCCAGGGTCATGCCAAGGTTCTTTGCACTCTGGGAGGGTGACACTGGAGTTGTCAAGGTCTTTGAGTGGAAAGGCCTTCCATCGGGAGGAAAGCAGCTCCGTCTTGTCAAGGTAGAGCTTGATGTGGTGGGCCGACATCCAAGCTGAGATATCTGCCAGGCACGCAGAAATGCGTGTCGCCACCTGGGTGTCAGAAGGGTGGAAAGGAGGAAAGTAGTTGTTTTATTTATTTAACCAGGTAAGCCAGTTGAGAACAAGTTCTCATTTACAACTGCGACCTGTCCAAGATAAAGCAAAGCAGTGCGATTTAAAAACAACAACACGGAGTTACACATGGGATAAAACAAAACCTACTGTCAATAACACAATAGAAAACTATACAGTGTGTGCAAATGTAGTAAGTTATGGAGGTAAGGCAATTAATATGCCATAGTGCAAAATAATTACAATTTAGTATTAACACCAATTTTTAAGTCGCTCTGGATAAGAGCGTCTGCTAAATGATGTAAATGTAAATGTAACACTGGAATGATAGTTGTGCAGAAGATGTGCAAATAGAGATACTGGGGTGCAAATGAGCAAAATAAAAAACAATATGGGGATGAGATAGTTGGGTGGGATAATTACAGATGGGCTGTGTACAGGTGCAGTGATCGGTAAGCTGCTCTGACAACTGATGCTTAAAGATAGTGAGGGAGATAAGTGTCTCCAGATTCAGAGATTTTTGCAGTTCTTTCCAGTCATTGGCAGCAGAGAACTGGAAGGAATGGCGGCCAAAGGAGGTGTTGGCTTTGGGGATGACCAGTGAGATATACCTGCTGGAGCGCATACTACGGGTGGGTGTTGCTATGGTGACCAATGAGCTAAGATAAGGCGGGGATTTGCCTAGCAGTGATTTATAGATGACCTGGAGCCAGTGGGTTTGGCGACGAATATGTAGTGAGGGCCAGCCAACGAGAGCGTACAGGTCACAATGGTGGGTAGTATATGGGGCTTTGGTGACAAAACGGATGGCACTGTGATATGCTACATCCAATTTGCTGTGTAGAGTGTTGGAAGCTATTTTGTAAATGACATCGCTGAAGTCAAGGATCGGTAGGATAGTCAGTTTTACGAGGGCATGTTTGGCAGCATGAGTGAAGGAGGCTTTGTTGCGAAATAGGAAGCCGATTCTAGATTTAACTTTGGATTGGAGATGCTTAATGTGAGTCTGGAAGGAGAGTTTATGGTCCAACCAGACACCTAGGTATTTGTAGTTGTCCACATATTCTAAGTCAGAGAGTTAGTGATTCTAGTCGGGCAGACGTGTGCAAGCAGCGTTCGATTGAAGAGCATGCATTTAGTTTTACTAGTGTTTAAGAGCAGTTGGAGGCTACGGAAGGAGTGTTGTACGGCATTAAAGCTCGTTTGAGGTTTGTTAACACAGTGTCCAATGAAGGGCCAGATGTATACAAAATGGTGTCTGCATAGAGGTGGATCTGAGAGTCACCAGCAGCAAGAGCGACATCATTGATATACACAGAGAATAGAGTCAGCCAGAGAATTGAACCCTGTGGCACCCCCATAGACTGCCAGAGGTCCATACAACAGGCCCTCCGATTTGACACATTGAACTCTATGTGAGAAGTAGTTGGTGAACCAGGCAAGGCAGTCATTTGAGAAACCAAGGCTATTTAGTCTGCCAATAAGAATGCGGTGATTGACAGAGTCGAAAGCCTTGGCCAGGTCGATGAAGACAGCTGCACAGTACTGTCTTTTATCAATCGCGGTTATAATATCGTTTAGGACCTTTAGCGTGGCTGAGGTGCACCCATGACCAGCTTGGAAACCAGATTGCATAGCGGAGAAGGTATGGTGGGATTCGAAATGGACGGTGATCTGTTTGTTAACTTGGCTTTGAAATACTTTCGAAGGGCAGGGCAGGATGGATATAGGTCTATAACAGTTTGGATCTAGAGCGTCACCCCCTTTGAAAAGGGGGATGACCGCAGCAGCTTTCCAATCTCTGGGGATCTCAGATGATACAAAAGAGAGGTTGAACAGGCTAGTAATAGGGGTTGCTACAATTTCGGCAGCTAATTTTAGAAAGAAAGGGTCCAGATTGTCTAGCCCAGCTGATTTGTAGGGGTCCCTAAAACACTTCAGCGAGCAGGCCTTTCTAATTGACCTGGCCCGGGTATCCTGGATGGATATTGACCTCATTCCGTCAGTAAAGGATGCCTGATTGTTCTTTAAAAGTGCTTTCCTCTCCATCTTAAATAAGCATACCCCATTCAAAAAATTCCAAACTAAGAACAGATATAACCCCTGGTTCACCCCAGACTTCACTGCCCTTGACCAGCACAAAAACATCCAGAGCTGGTGGCCGGGGTAGGGGTAGCCAGGTGGAAAGCATGGGCAGCCGTAGCAAAATGCTTATTGAAATTCTCGATTATTGTAGATTTATCGGTGGTGACAGTGTTTCCTAGCCTCAGTGCAGTGGGCAGTGGGCAGCTGGGAGGAGGTGCTCTTATTCTCCATGGACCTTACAGGGTCCCAAAACTTTTTGGAGTTAGTGCTACAGGATGCAAATTTCTGTTTCAAAAAGCTAGCCTTTGCTTTCCTAACTGATTGTGTATATTGGTTCCTGACTTCCCTGAAAAGTTGCATATCATGGATGTTTTTGTGCTGGTCAAGGGCAGTGAAGTCTGGGGTGAACCAGGGGTTATATCTGTTCTTAGTTTGGAATTTTTTGAATGGGGCATGCTTATTTAAGATGGAGAGGAAATTACTTTTAAAGAACAACCAGGCATCCTTTACTGACGGAATGAGGTCAATATCCATCCAGGATACCCGGGCCAGGTCAATTAGAAAGGCCTGCTCGCTGAAGTGTTTTAGGGAGCGTTTGACAGTGATGATGGGTGGTCGTTTGACCGCGGACCCGTTACGGACGCGGGCAATGAGGCAGTGATCGCTGAGATCCTGGTTGAAGACAGCGGAGGTGTATATAGAGGGTAAATTAGTCAGGATGATATCGATGAGGGTGCCCGTGTTTACGGATTTAGGGTTGCTCCTGGTAGGTTCCTTGATAATTTGTGTGAGATTGAGGGCATCTAGTTTAGATTGTAGGACGGCCAGGGTGTTAAACATATCCCAGTTTAGGTCACCAAGCAGTACGAACTCTGAGGATAGATGGGGGGCAAGCAATTCACATATGGTGTCCAGGGCACAACTGGGGGCTGAAGGGGGGTAACAGTGAGAGACTTATTTCTGGAGAGGTGGATTTTTATAAGTAGAAGCTCAAACTGTTTGGGCACAGCCCTGGATAGTATGCTAGAGCTCTGCAGGCTATCTCTACAGCAGATTGCAACTCCGCCCCCTTTGGCAGTTTTATCTAGACGGAAAATGTTGTAGTTGGTGATGGAAATGTCAGAGTTTTTGGTGGTCTTCCTAAGCCAGGATTCAGACACCGCTAGAACATCAGGGTTGGCGGAGTGTGCTAACGCAGTGAGTAACTCAAACTTAGGGAGGAGGCTTCTGATGTTAACATACATAAAACCAAGGCTTTTACGGTTACTGAAGTCAACAAATGAAGCGCCTGGGGAGTAGGAGTGATACTGGGGGCTACAAGGCCTGGGTTAACCTCTACATCACCAGAGGAACAGAGGAGGAGTAGAATAAGGATATGGCTAAAGGCTTTAAGAACTGGTCTTCTAGTGCGTTGGGTACAGAGAATTAAAGGGCAGATTTCCTGGCGTTGTAGAATAGATTCAGGGCATTATGTACAGACAAGGATATGGAAGGATATGAGTACAGTGGAGGTAAACCAAAGCATTGGGTAACGATGAAAGAGAGCATCACTGGAGGTACCGATTGAGCCGGTCTCCGCGTGTATGGGAGGTGGGACAAAGGAGCTCTCTGAGGCTGGTTGAGCGGTACTGGGGGCTCTACAGTGAAATTGTATAATAAGAACTAACCGGAACAGCAATAGGCAAGGCATATTGACATGGGAGAGAGGCATAAAGCAATCACAGGTATTTTTCGAGAGAGCTAAGACAGCAACTGGTAATGGCGACGAAGGTTGGGGAGAGGCTAAACAGGACAGATAAACAGGATGGGGGTACCGTGTAAAGGAACAGTCCAGCAGGCATCAGCTGTGCAGCTGTGAGTGATCATATGGTCCAGTGAACAGCAATAGGTGAGACCGGGAGCCGTTCGAATGGCTGCTACAGCACAGGCGAGCAGGAAGCACGGCTGTTGATTGCGTGTGCTAGCGGGCCGGGGCTAGCAGATGGTTCTTCGTGGTCGCCGCAACGGGAAGCCTTTTGAAACCACATCAGACGATTACGTCGGCAGACCAGTCGTGATGGATCGGCGGGGCTCTGTGTCGACACTAGGAGGTCCTGTCTGGTTGACAGAGACTTGGATAGCCGGGAGATGGGCCTGGCTCGAGGCTAGCTCAAGGCTAACTGGTGCTTGCTTCGGGGGCAGTGGTCATTAGCCAACAACATCCATTCGGTTGCAGCTAGCTAGTCGCGATGATCCGGTGTTAAGGTCCAGTGTATCAGTGATTCCGGGAGAAAATCCGATATGTTCTTAGTCGATAGCGCGCTGTGCAGACTGGCCGATAATAGTCCAGGCTAGAGCTGGCTGGTAGGTAGTGCAGGCCACGGACAATGGTGAAAACCGCTAACGGTGGCTAATAGCAAGTAGCTAGTTAGCTGGCTAGTTTCAACTGGAGGTTCTGGATAAAAAGGTAAAATAAATAATAGAATCTGTTCCACTTTGGGTGAGGCGGGTTGCAGAAAAGTATATTAGTTGAAGGATGAAAAGTGTGATTGAGAAATATATACGAAAGAGAAAAAAACAAAAAAAACAGGTTATTTACACGGACACACTACAGAGTACACGACCACACTTCTACGCCATCTTGGAACATCTGCATAGCAATGATAGGAGAAACCATGTGAGGATCTGACGGAGCCAAGTGACTTTGTGTATAGAGAGAAGAGGAGAGGGCCTAGAACCTAGCCCTGGGGTACGTGGTGCAGACAGATTCTCTTCACGTCACCTGGTAGGAGCGGCCTGCCAGGTAGGACCCAATCAAAGAGTGTGCAGAGCCTGAGACGCCCAGCCCTGAGAGGGTGGAGAGGAGGCTCTGATGCATCATGGTGTCGAAGGCAGCGGATAGAGCTAGGAGGATGGGAACAGAGGAGAGAGGGTTAGACTTTGGAAGTGCGGAGAGCCTTTGTGACAAAGAGAGAGCAGTTTCGGTTGAGTGACCCGTCTTGAAGCCTGACTGGTTAGGGTCAAGAAGATTGTTCTTAGAGAGATAGCGAGAAAGTTAATCAGAGAGAGCGCGCTCAAGTGTTTTGGAAAGAAAACAGGTCTATAGTTCTTCACGTCAGATGAGTCGAATTTTGGTTTCTTGAGGAGGGGAACGACTCAGGACATTTTGAAGTCAGAGAACGCAGCCAGTGGTCAGGGATGAGGGAAGTGAGGAATGGTAGAAAGTCTGGAGAAGGGAGGAGGGGATGGGGTCGATTTCATCTGGAGAGAGCGGGGAGAAAGCAGTCAAGGCGTAGGGTAGTTCTGTGTGAGTGAGACCAGTGGACTCAATGGGCTGAGTGGATGAGTAGCGGATGTCGTCAACCTTCTTTTCAAAGTGGTTGACAAAGTCGTCGCAGAGAGGTGGGGGGGGGGGGGGGCGGGGGGTGGAGGATTAAGGAGGGAGGAGAAGTTGTAAAATAGTTTCCTAGGGTTAGAGGCAGAAGCTTGAAATTTAGAGTGGTAGAAAGTGGCTTTAGCAGCGGACACAGAGGAAGAGAAGGTAGAGAGGAGGGAGTGAAAGGATGATAGGTCCTCCGGAAGTTTCGTTTTCCTCCATTTTCGCTCTGCTGCCCGCAGCCCTGTTCTGTAAGCTCGCAATGAGTCACTCAGCCATGGAGCTGGAGGGGAGGGCCAAGCCTGCCGGGAGGAAAGGTGACAGTGCGAGTCATAGAATGCGGAACGGGAGGAGAGTAGGGTCGAAGAGGCAGAATCAGGAGACAGGAGGGAGAAGGATTTAGCAGAAAGGAGAGATGATAGGAAAGAGTAGTGGGAGAGAGAGCGAAGATTGCGAAGGCACATGACCATCTGGGTTAGGGGCTGAGTGGTTAGGGTTGAAGGAAAGGGAGACAGAAAGGGAAACAAAGTAGTGATCAGAGACCTGGAGGTTGCAGTGAGATTAGTAGTAGAGCAGCCTCTAGTAAAGATGAGGTCAAGCGTATTGCCTGCCTTGTGAGTTGAAGGTGATTGGGAAAGGTTGAGGTCAAAAAGGCAAGGAGGAGAAAGAGAGAATTGGAAAGAAATGAATCAAAGGCAGACGTCGGGAGGTTGAAGTCGCCAAGGACGAAGAGCGGTGAGCCATCGTCAGGAAATTAGCTTATCAAGGTGTCAAGCTCATTGAGGAACTCTCGAAGGGCAGCTGGTGGGCGATAGATGAGGATTGGCCAGCTCCAGTTGTAATACGTTTGTAGCCTACGTTGTGTGTATTGTTATATACAACATTTGCTAACATAAGTACACATACAACCCATGGCATACAAGGATGTGCAGCAGGGTTTCAGTCAGGAAAATGTGGCGCCTGACAACGTGACCGGGAAGATATTAATTTACCGGCCATTTGAGACATCTACCAGGCCAATATGCATTGGGTGCATAAACCATTAGGGCATCCACCCACCATGCTCAGAATGACAGAAATCACATTTCAATTATGGTAATTCATCTTAACATACCGTGCAACTCCTGTAATGAAGCAGCCAATAAAACATTGTTTTCAAACATTTGCTATATATGACAGAGATGAAAATCTGTTAACTTAGAAAGAGGGTGAATCTAAAGATGCAACAGCTAATTTAGGATGGGTTGCTAATATGACTGCCTTTTTGCTTCTGGACAATGAAAGACAGTTTATGAAAACCAATAGAACAGGAGAGAAATGGCATGTGAGGAAGTCTTTCATAGGCAGCTTGCGTGGCAAAAGGCCTAGCTGATTATTGATTTGCGACTGTCAGTGAAAAACATCAAAAATATGTTGTTTCATTGTGTGAAATGTTTGCCCTTTGATTGTTTATTTTTATTAATTCCCTATTACATGTCACCAATAGTAAATGTACCATTAATCCCCATCATCTGGTTACATTAATTTTTGTTAATGCATTATATTACTAATTAGGACTACAGTTATTTACCGTTCTCATTCTCGGAGTGGAAACTTTGTTTTGCAGAGTTCACAACCTGCTACACACTTGTGAGAATCAAGTTTTGGTTTATTTCATAACCATCATTTATGACTTGTACAGTTTTTCATTGTCTTTTGTTTGGAGTGCTCCATGTGAGCAATGATCATGGGTCTGGTTTCTGTCTTGTTCATGTTCAGGGAGTGCGCATGCGCCTGAGCACACATTTATCAATTTTAAATTCAGGCTGTAACAGCAAAATGTAGAAAAAGTCAAGGGGTTTGAATCTTTTCTGAAGGCAGTGGCTATATGTGTTGGTAATTGACAGGCTTTGACTCACTCCTCAGAAAAGCACACCTCCATAGGAATGAATGGAATTCTACAGTATTTGAATTAATTATTTCAAGGACAAAATTACAGGTATTTAAGTATTTTTTATGTTGTAGTGGGGACAGTTACATTAGTATACTTTAAGGATTTTTTATGTTTAGCTCACATAATATAATTTAAAAGTATGCATTAAGGTGTCTGTAATATAACTAACGTGGCAAAACAAATGTAGACATTAATACATCTAATTAGCATAATACAACAATCCCAATCAAGATCCGTCAATTTAAGCTAGAGATACATTTGTGTATGTATAATGTATGTTGACACCCCTTCAAATGAGTAGATTCGGCTATTTCAGCCACACCCATTGCTGACAGGTGTATAAAATCGAGCACACAGCCATTCAATCTCCACAGACAAACATTGGCAGAAGAATGGCCTTACTGAAGAGCTCAGTGACTTTCAAAGTGGCACCGTCATAGGATGCCACCTTTCCAACAAGGCAGTTTGACAAATATCTGCCCTGCTAGAGCTGCCCCGGTCAACTGTAAGTTCTGTTATTGTGAAGTGGAAACGTCTAGGAGCAACATCGGCTCAGCCACGAGCTGGTAGGTCACACAAGCTCACAGAACGGGTCTGCCAAGTGCTGAAGTGCATAAAAATCGTCTGTCCTCGATTGCAAAACTCACTACCGAGTTCCAAACTGCCTCTGGAAGCAACGTCAGCACAATAACTGTTCGTCGGGAGCTTCATGAAATAGGTTTCCATGGCCGAGCAGCCACACACAAGCCTAAGATCACTATGCACAATGCTAAGCGTTGGCTTGAGTGGTGTAAAGCTCGCCACCATTGGACTCTGGAGCATTGGAAACGCATTCTCTGGAGTGATGAATCATGCTTCAACTTCTGGCAGTCCAACAGATGAATCTGGGTTTGGCGGATGCCAGGAGAACGCTACCTGCCTGAATGCATAGTGCCAACTGTAAAGTTTGGTGGAGGAGGAATAATGTTCTGGGGCTGTTGTTCATGGTTTGCGCCCCTTAGTTCCACCCCATCGAACACCTTTGGGATGAATTGGAACGCCGACTGCGAGCCAGGCCTAATCGCCCAACATCAGTGCCGAACATCACTAATGCTCCTGTATCTGAATGGAAGCAAGTCCCCGCGGTAATGTTCCAACATCTAGTGGAAAGCCTTCCCGGAAGAGTGGAGGCTGTTCTAGGAGCAAAGGGGGCGACCAACTCCATATTAATGCCCATGATTTTGGAATGAGATGTTCGACGAGCTGGTGTCCACATACTTTTGGTCATGTAGTGCATCTGTTTTTTTTTGCATTGGGTGCGTCTCAATGCACCGCATCCGCCTATGTCACACTTCTGTATCTGCGGTGAAAGGTGACACAGCTAGAGCTGTGTTTGTCAGGCCATGAGACGTCCCGAAAATAAGTATTCTCACAAAAACGTCTATACCGTCTGATTTTGGAAATATGAGACTCACGAACACGTACAGTTGAAGTCGGAAGTTTACATACACTTAGGTTGGAGTCATTAAAACTAGTTTCTCAACCACTCCACACATTTCTTGTTAACAAACTATAGTTTTGGCAAGTCGGTTAGGACATCTAATTTGTCCAACAATTGTTTACAGACAGATTATATCACTTATAATTCACTGTATCACAATTCCAGTGGGTCAGACGTTTACATACACTAAGTTGACTGTGCCTTTAAACAGCTTGGAAAATTCCAGAAAAAGATGTCATGGCTTTAGAAGCTTCTGATAGGCTAATTGACATCATTTGAGTCAATTGGAGGTGTACCTGTGGATGTATTTCAAGGCCTACCTTCAAACTCAGTGCCTCTTTGCTTGACATCATGTGAAAATCAAAAGAAATCAGCCAAGACCTCCAAGTCTGGTTGATCCTTGGGAGCAATTTCCAAACACCTGAAGGTACCACGTTCATCTGTACAAACAATAGTACGCAAGTATAAACACCATCGGACCACACAGCCGTCATACCGCTCAGGAAGGAGATGCGTTCTGTCTCCTAGATATGTTTGGAGGAAAAAGGGAAGGCTTGCAAGCCAAAGAACACCATCCCAACCGTGAAGCACGGGGGTGGCAGCATCATGCTTTGGGGGTGCTTTGCTGCAGGACTGGTGCACCATGAGGAAGGAACATTATGTGGATATATTGAAGCAACATCTCAAGACATCAGTCAGGAAGTTTAAGCTTGGTCGCAAATGGGTCTTCCAAATGGACAATGACCCCAAGCATACTTCCAAAGTTGTGGCAAAATGGCTTAAGGACAACAAAGTCAAGGTATTGGAGTGTCCATCACAACGCCCTGACCTCAATCCTATAGAAAATGCGTGGGCAGAACTGAAAAAGCGTGTGCAAGCAAGGAGGCCTACAAACCTGACTCAGTTACACCAGCTCTGTCAGGAGGAATGGGCCAAAATTCACCCAACTTATTGTGGGAAGCTTGTGTAAGGCTACCCGAAACATTTTACCCAAGTTAAACAATTTAAAGGCAATGCTACCAAATACTAATTGAGGGTATGTAAACTTCTGACCCACTGGGAAAGTGATGAAAGAAATAAAAGCTGAAAGAAATCATTCTCTCTACTATTATTCTGACATTTCACATTCTTAAAATAAAGTGGTGATCGTAACTGACCTAAGACTGGGAATCTTTACTAGGATTAAATTTCAGGAATTGTGAAAAACTGAGTTTAAATGTATTTGGCTAAGGTGTATGTAAACTTTCGACTTCAACTGTACATGTCGTTTGGCCGCACAATAATCTATGGACATACTGTCTATAAGGAGACTGTTTAGTGACATACATGTTAATTGTTTTAAATACAAAAATCCTGATCTTTCTTATATCTCTCAGATTTAGGATAGACACTGAAGAACAAGCTTCCTTTAGATTTTTTTGGGGGGACTATCTGTTGTTCCATGTAGTGAATCTGTTATTCAATGTGTTTGTATGGGCTAATAGCACTAAGGCCCAACATTTATTTTTCTTCAAATAGTTTTTTGGTACTTCAAGGGGTCCTAAAATTCTAAATCAAATAGCGAAATGCTCCTTAGTATGACCATATTAAAACAATCTCAACAATTCCCCCCCCCCCCCCCCCCGTCTCAGGCTTAAAGGGTTACTACACGCAAAAGGTCTCCTGATGTGGTTTAAAGGGATAATTCAGGATTATCTACTTCCCCAGAGTCAGATGAACTCGTGGAAACCATTTTTATGTCTATGTGTCCAGTATGAAGGAAGTTAGAGTATTAGCGTTAGCCATAGTCTTCCAATCATTGCGCTATCTGCTAGCATGCTTGTATGCCAGATAATGTGATATAACCAAAGATTTTTGGTGTCCATTACTGGGCGTTACAGGAAAGCCCCATACAAACTACCATCAACGAAATTCCAGTTGCAGGTGGTGCTACAAAAACCACAGAAAATTCAGAAAAATATTAAATGCATGTTTTGCGCTGCTTGATGTTGTTCCTTGCCATCATAGCTGCTGCACATCCAGCATTTCCCAGCATCTTTGAAGGAACTAGTCGTTTCTCTGCGGCGTGGCCACGTGTAGAAGTAGATGACGATGCGTCACACTGTGCGACCAAAACCTAGATCTACACACGTGCAAGAGGCATATCTCATTCGATACAAAAGATGGATTGAATATCTTTCTATGGAATTTTCTATGGTTTTTGTAGAACCACCTGCAACTGGAAACGGACATTTCTAAGATACTTTTTTCGAGAACTAAGAAAGTATCGCCAAGAACAGGTTAGTCGAAAAATCTCTGCCGGTGGTTTGTATGGGGCTTTCCTGTAACGCCCAGTAATGGACACAAAAATGTTTGTACACCAGATAATGTGATATTACCAATCTGTAGCTATCATTTCACATGCCATTTATGGAGCATGAGCGCATGAAGTTGTCAAGAGCACAAACAGATCTGGCACCAGGTTAAGTCTAGCTGCTTACAAGTCTGCTTCATGATATCATTTTGTGTTGTGTCCCTCCCAAAGTGTGTGTCACTTGTAGATTCTCAGACAAAGTAAGATTGTATCCTGAGCCGTGTTCAGTAGCTGAAAGTTGAATAGAGACAACATGATTCCTTATTATACATGTCAGAGGTCCACATTATTAGCATTTTTCTATCTGAAATGTTACAAAAGTTGCATTCTTCTGAATGCGCCCCTGATTTATATCCTGTGTGATAGGTGTGTTGGACTGTGGAGGGGCGGAGTTTGAGGATGGAGAGGAGGTGTATGACGCGATTGGAGGACTGCTGCAGGGGTCGTCGGCTGACTGTAAAAACGAGGATGACATCCGGGACATCTGTCAGCAGATGTTCAACACTCTTAAACTGTAAGTGCAACACACACACACACACACACACACACACACACACACAACCTTAACACCCACCTCTTTCACAACCAGTGTACAACACAAAAATTAACTAATTGTCACACACCAAAAGCTAATATTTTATGTAATTCGCTTGCTGATTCATCAAAAATATACTCTCTTATGTCTTTTCCATCAGGAGTAACGGCCATGCCGGTTCAAAGCAAGTGCTGCTCGACGCTCCGGTGCAGTTGTCTCAGATATCTGCGGAGTGTGGTAAGTGCCTTGTCTGCAGGAAGACTAAGGTCGTCCTCTTTGTTGTCAGCTTTATGGTCCAGTATACAGATGTGTATATGTAGCGATGTACAGTTGAAGTCGGAAATGTACATACACCTTAGCCAAATACATTTAAACAACGTTTTTCACAATTCCTGACATTTAATCCTAGTAAAAATTTACTGTTTTATGTCAGTTAGAATCACCACGTTATTTTAAGAATGTGAAATGTCAGAATAATATTAGAGAATTATTTATTTCAGCTTTTATTTCTTTTATCACATTCCCAGTGGGTCAGAAGTTTACATACACTCAATTAGTATTTGGTAGCATTGCCTTTAAATTGTTTAACTTGGGTAAAATGTTTCGGGTAGCCTTACACAAGCTTCCCACAATAAGTTGGGTGAATTTTGGCCCATTCCTCCTGACAGAGCTGGTGTAACTGAGTCAGGTTTGTAGGCCTCCTTGCTTGCACACGCTTTTTCAGTTCTGCCCACGCATTTTCTATAGGATTGAGGTCAGGGCGTTGTGATGGACACTCCAATACCTTGACTTTGTTGTCCTTAAGCCATTTTGCCACAACTTTGGAAGTATGCTTGGGGTCAGTGTCCATTTGGAAGACCCATTTGCGACCAAGCTTAAACTTCCTGACTGATGTCTTGAGATGTTGCTTCAATATATCCACATAATTTTCCTTCCTCATGATGCCATCTATTTTGTGAAGTGCACCATTCCCTCCTCCAGCAAAGCACCCCCACAGCATGATGCTACCACCCCCTGTGCTTCACGGTTGGGATGGTGTTCTTTGGCTTGCAAGCCTTCCCCTTTTTCCTCCAAACATAACGATGGTCATTATGCCCAAACAGTTATATTTTTGTTTCATCAGACCAGAGGACATATCTCCAAAAAGTACGATCTTTGTCCCCATTTGCAGTTGCAAACCGTAGTCTGGCTTTTTTATGGCGGTTTTGGAGCAGTGGCTTCTTCCTTGCTGAGTGGCCTTTCAGGTTATGTCGATATAGGACTCGTTTTACTGTGGATATAGATACTTTTGTACCTGTTTCCTCCAGCATCTTCACAAGGTCCTTTGCTGTTGTTCTGGGATTGATTTGCACTTTTTGCACCAAAGTACGTTCATCTCTAGGAGACAGAACGCGTCTCCTTCCTGAACGGTATGACGGCTGCGTGGTCCCATGGTGTTTATGCTTGCGTACTATTGTTTGTACAGATGAACGTGGTACCTTCAGGCATTTGGAAATTGCTCCCAAGGATGAACCAGACTTGTGGAGGTCTACAATTTCTTTTCTGAGATCTTGGCTGATTTCTTTTGATTTTCCCATGATGTCAAGCAAAGCGGCACTGAGTTTGAAGGTTGGCCTTGAAATACATCCACATGTACACCTCCAATTGACTCAAATGATGTCAATTAGCCTATCAGAAGCTTCTAAAGCCATGACATCATTTTCTGAAAATTTCCAAGCTGTTTAAAGGCACAGTCAACTTAGTGTATGTGAACTTCTGACCCACTGGAATTGTGATACAGTGAATTATACGTGAAATAATCTGTCTGTAAACAATTGTTGGAAAAATTACTTGTGTCATGCACAAAGTAGATGTCCTAACCGACTTGCCAAAACTATAGTTTGTTAACAAGAAATTTGTGGACTGGATCAACAACAAGTTTTCATGACTCCAACCTAAGTGTATGTAAACTTCCGACTTCAACTGTATATGTTTGATATTCATTCTGGTAGCCTGTAATTGTCTTGTCTACTGTTTTTAGACCTTCATCTTTCCCGTCCTCTACTGCTCAACCTTCCTATTTTCTCTACCATTTCTATCCTATGTCTTCTTAATATCCTCCCTGACTTATTGTTGCATCTCATTCCCTCGTCTCAGTATCTGCCACTAACGATGTCCAAGGGATCTGGATGATGAAGAGGGGCCAGAATACAGTAAAGTATTTTTGTTGCATCGTATTTTCTTGTGTATTATGTCCTTTGCACCTATGTTTTTCTCCTGTCAACTTCATCCACTTTGTCTTCTTACGCATACACACACACCACCACCACCATCTCAGACTGTGGACGCGAGGAAGCTAGAGAAGGCCGAAGCCAAGCTGAAGCAAAAACAAGGGAGGAGGAATGAACGGGATTCGCAAAAAACGACTGGTCCACTGTGAGTTTCATATGCTTTTCATCTACACCCGAAGACTATGCTAACAGTTTATCGTTGGCAGTGGTGGAAAAAGTACCCAATTGTCATACTTGAGTAAAAGTAAAGATACACTACCGTTCAAAAGTTTGGGGTCACTTAGAAACGTCCTTGTTTTCCATGAAAACATACATGAAATGAGTTTTAATAGGAAATATAGCAAAAAGCATAGGAAATGTAGTCATTTCACAAGGTTAGAAATAATGATTTTTACTTGAAATAATAATTGTGTTCTTCAAACTTTGCTTTCGTCAAAGAATACTCCATTTGCAGCAATTACAGCCTTGCAGACCTTTGGCATTCTAGTTGTACATTTGTTGAGGTAATCTGAAGAGATTTCACCCCATGCTTCCTGAAGCACCTCCCACAAGTTGGATTGGGTTGATGGGCACTTCTTACGTCTCATACGGTCAAGCTGCTCCCCCAACAGCTCAATAGGGTTGAGATCCAGTGACTTTGCTGGCCACTCCATTATAGACAGAATACCAGCTGACTGCTTCTTCCCTAAATAGTTCTTGCATAGTTTGGAGCTGTGCTTTGGGTCATTGTCCTGTTGTAGGAGGAAATTGGCTCCAATCAAGCGCCGTCCACGGGGTATGGCATGGCGTTGCAAAATGGAGTGATAGCCTTCCTTCTTCAAGATCCCTTTTACCCTGTACAAATCTCCCAATTTACCACCACCAAAGCACCCCCAGACCATCACATTGCCTCCACCATGCTTGACAGCTGGCATCTAGCACTCCTCCAGCATCTTTTCATTTGGTCTACGTCTCACAAATTTTCTTTGTGATCCGAACACCTCAAACTTTGATTAGTCTGTCCATTACACTTTTTTTCCATACTTCCTCTGTCCAGTGTCTGTTCTTTTGCCCATCTTAATCTTTTCTTTTTATTGGCCAGTCTGAGATATGGCTTTTTCTTTGCGACTCTGCCTAGAAGGTCAGCATCCCGGGGTCGCCTCTTCACTGTTGACGTTGAGACTGGTGTTTTGTGGGTACTATTTAATGAAGCTGCCAGTTGAGGACCTGTGAGGCGTCTGTTTCTCAAACTAGACACTAATGTATTTGTCCTCTTTTGCTCAGTTGTGCACCGGGGCCTCCCACTCCTCTTTCTATTCTGGTTAGCGCCAGTTTGCGCTGTTCCGTGAAGGGAGTAATACACAGTGTTGTACAAGATCTTCAGTTTCTTGGCAGTTTCTCGCATGGAATAGCCTTCATTTCTCAGAACAAGAATAGACTGACGAGTTTCAGAAGAAAGTTATTTGTTTCTGGCCATTTTGATTCTGTAATCGAACCCACAGTTGCTGATGCTTCAGATACTCAACTAGTCTCAAGAAGGCCAGTTTTATTGCTTCTTTAATCAGCACAACAGTTTTCAGCTGTGCTAACATAATTGCAAAAGGGTTTTCTAATGATCAATTAGCCTTTTTAAAATGATAAACTTGGATTAGCAAACACAACGTGCCATTGAACACAGGACTGATGGTTGCTGATAATGGGCCTCTGTACGCCTATGTAGATATTCCATTAAAAATCAGCCGTTTCCAGCTACAATAGCCATTTACAACATGAACAATGTCTACACTTTTTTTCTGATCAATTTGATGTTATTTTAATGGACAAAAAAATTGCTTTTCTTTCGAAAACAGGGACATTTCTAAGTGACCCCAAAATGTTGAATGGTAGTGTATACATATAAACTCAGCAAAAAAAGAAATGTCCTTTCACTGTCAACTGCGTTTATTTTCAGCAAACTTAACATGTGTAAATATTTGTATGAACATAAGATTCAACAACTGGGACATAAACTGAACAAGTCCCACAGACAGAAATTGAATAATGTGTCCCTGAACAAAGGGACGGTCAAAATCTAAAGTAACAGTCAGTATCTGGTGTGGCCACCAGCTGCATTAAGTACTGCAGTGCATCTCCTCCTCATGGACTGCACCAGATTTGCCTGTTCTTGCTGTGAGATGTTACCCCACTCTTCCACCAAGGCACCTGCAAGTTCCCTGACATTTCTGGGGGGAATGGCCCTAGCCCTTACCCTCCGATCCAACAGGTCCCAGACGTGCTCAATGGGATTGAGATCTGGGCTCTTCGCTGGCCATGGCAGAACACTGACATTCCTGTCTTGCACGAAATCACTCACAGAACGAGCAGTATGGCTGATGGCATTGTCATGCTGGAGGGTCATGTCAGGATGAGCCTGCAGGAAGGGTACCACATGAGGGAGGAGGATATCTTCCCTGTAACGCACAGCGTTGAGATTGCCTGTAATAATGACAAGCTCAGTCCGATGATGCTGTGACACACCGCCCCAGACCATGATGGACCCTCCACCTCCAAATCGATCCCGCTCCAGAGTACAGGCCTCGGTGTAACGCTCATTCATTCGACGATAAACGTGAATCCGACCATCACCCCTGGTGAGACAAAACCGCGACTCGCCAGTGAAGAGCACTTTTTGCCAGTCCTGTCTGGTCAAGCGACGGTGGGTTTGTGCCCATAGGCGACGTTGTTGCCGGTGATGTCTGGTGAGGACCTGCCTTACAACAGGCCTACAAGCCCTCAGTCCAGACTCTCTCAGCCTATTGCGGACAGTGTGAGCACTGATGGAGGGATTGTGCGTTCCTGGTGTAACTCGGGCAGTTGTTGTTGCCATCCTGTACCTGTCCCACAGGTGTGATGTTCGGATGTACCGATTCTGTGCAGGTGTTGTTACGCGTGGTCTGCCACTGCGAGGACAATCAGCTGTCCGTCCTGTCTCCCTGTAGCGCTGTCTTAGGCATCTCACAGTACGGACATTGCGATTTATTGCCCTGGCCACACCTACAGTCCTCATGCCTCCTTGCAGCATGCCTAAGGCACGTTCACGCAGATGAGCAGGGACCCTGGGCATCTTTCTTTTGGTGTTTTTCAGAGTCAGTAGAAAGACATCTTTAGGGTCCTAAGTTTTCATAACAGTGACCTTAATTGCCTACCGTCTGTAAGCTGTTAGTGTCTTACCGACCGTTCCACAGGTGCATGTTCATTAATTGTTTATGGTTCATTGAACAAGCATGGGAAACCGTGTTTAAACCCTTTACAATGAAAATCTGTGAAGTTATTTGGATTTTTACAAATTATCTTTGAATGACAGGGTCCTGAAAAAGGGACATTTCTTTTTTTGCTGAGTTTGTGTGTGTGTGTCTGTATGTGTGTGTGTATGTGTGTGTGTGTATATATGTGTGTGTATGTATGTATATATATTATTTGTGTGTGTGTATGTATACATACATACAGGTGAAGACGGAAGTTTACATACATCTTAGCCAAATACATTTAAACTCAGTTTTTCACAATTCATGACATTTAATCCTAGTAAGAATTCCCTGACTTAGGTCAGTTAGGATCACCACTTTATTTTAAGAATGTGAAATGTCAGAATAATAGTAGAGAGAATGATTGCTTTATTTCAGCGTTTATTTCTTTCATCACATTCCCAGTGGGTCAGAAGTTTACATACCCTCAATTAGTATTTGGTAACATTGCCTTTAAATTGTTTAACTTGGGTCAAACGTTTCGGGTAGCCTTCCACAAGCTTCCCACAATAAGTTGGGTTAATTTTGGCCCATTCCTCCTGACAGAGCTGGTGTAACTGAGTCAGGTTTGTAGGCCTCCTTGCTCGCACACACTTTTTCAGTTATGCCCACAAATGTTCTATAGGATTGAGGTCAGGGCTTTGTGATGGCCACTCCAATACCTTGACTTTGTTGTCCTTAAGCCATTTTGCCACAACTTTGGAAGTATGCTTGGGGTCATTGTCCATTTGGAAGACCCATTTGCGACCAAGCTTTAACTTCCTGACTGATGTCTTGAGATGTTGCTTCAATATATCCACATAATTTTCCTTCCTCATGATGCCATCTATTTTGTGAAGTGCACCTGTCCCTCCTGCAGCAAAGCACCCCCACAGCATGATGCTGCCACCCCCGTGCTTCACGGTAGGGATGGTGTTCTTCGGCTTGCAAGCCTTCCCCTTTTTCTCCAAACATAACGATGGTCATTATGGCCAAACAGTTATGTTTGTTTCATCAGACCAGAGGACATTTCTCCAAAAAGTACGACCTTTGTCCCCATGTGCAGTTGCAAACCGTAGTCTGGCTTTTTTGTGGCGGTTTTGGAGCAGTGGCTTCTTCCTTGCTGAGCAGCCTTTCAGGTTATGTCGATATAGGACTTGTTTTACTGTGGATATAGATACTTTTGTACCTGTTTCCTCCAGCATCTTCACAAGGTCCTTTGCTGTTGTTCTGGGAGTGATTTGCACTTTCCGCACCAAAGTACGTTCATCTCTAGGAGATATAACGCGTCTCCTTCCTGAGCGGTATGACGGCTGCGTGGTCCCATGGTGTTTATACTTGCATACTATTGTTTGTACAGATGAACGTGGTACCTTCAGGCGTTTGGAAATTGCTCCCAAGGATGAACCAGACTTGTGGAGCTCTACAATTTTTTTCCTGAGGTCTTGGCTGATTTCTTTTGATTTTCCTATGATGTCAAGCAAAGAGGCACTGAGTTTGAAGGTAGGCCTTGAAATATATCCACAGGTACACCTCCAATTGACTCAAATGATGTCAATTAGCCTATCAGAAGCTTCTAAAGCCATGACATCATTTTCTGGAATTTTCCAAGCTGTTTAAAGGCACAGTCAACTTAGTGTATGTAAACTTCTGACCCACTGGAATTGTGATACAGTGAATTATAAGTGAAATAATATGTCTGTAAACAATTGTTGGAAAAATTACTTGTGTCGTGCACAAAGTAGATGTCCTAACCGACTTGCCAAAACTATAGTTTGTTAACAAGAAATTTGTGGAGTAGTGGAAAAAATAGTTTTAATGACTCCAACCTAAGTGTATGTAAACTTCCGACTTCAACTGTACATACATACATACATACTGTACCAGTCAAAAGTTTGGACACACCTACTCATTCCAGGGTTTTTCTTTATTTGTACTATTTTCTACATTGTAGAATAATAGTGAAGAAATCAAAACTATGAAATATCACATATGGAATCATGTAGTAACCAAAAAAGTGTTAAACAAATCATAATATATTTTATATTTGAGATTCTTCTGCCTTGATGACAGCTTTGCACCCTCTTGAAGTCTGGTTATAGTGTCAGACTGTTGTCACTTGGACTGATGTTTCACATCTGCCTGTCTTTGTCATTCCTCCGTCTCTCTTCCTCTGTCTCTCTTCCTCTGTACTCGCTCTCTCTACTTCTATCTCTCTCCTTCTGGTTCCCTCTGTCTATTTCTCCCTCTGTCTCTTTCTCCCTCTCCCTCTGTGTCTCTCACTCTTTCCTTTTCCCCTCTGTATGTCTCTGTGTCTCTCTCAGGGTACTGGAGGAGGCATCAGCCAGCCAGGCCAGTAGCAAGAAGGACAGTCGCGTCGACTTGTCCGGGAAGAATCGCACCTACGACATCCGCATCGAGAACTTTGACGTGTCGTTTGGCGAGCGGTGAGTGGTTCACACTTAGGCTGCGTCCGAAATGGCACCACATCCCTATTAAGTGCAGTACTTTTGACCAGGACCAGTACTTTTGACCAGGACCAGTACTTTTGACCGGGATCTGCGAGCTATATATGGTAAGGTGCCATTTGGGATGAAGCCAACTCATTCATTCTCCTACTGGAGCAGGTGGTTCATTCTAATCAGCATCATGCAATGCTTCCACCAGTATTTAGCTGGTATTTAAAAGGAGTTGATGTGGTTATGATAGTTACTTTCTGCAAATGTCTTTAAAGAATTCAACACAACTACCTGATATCAAATGGTGCATAGCAGTGCTTGTTTAAATGAACCGCAAACAACTGAGTAAATCATAGATTATTACTGTGTAATTACCCTTTTATTATGTCATCTCTTAGTTAATACCAGACAGTGAGAGAGCGACAAAGAGAGTAGGAGAGAGACAGAGACATGTCTTAGTCTGTACCGTAAAGCAATGTGCAAGCAACTTGTCTCTCTCTGCTTTTCCAGGTCCTTGCTGCAGGGGGCAGAGCTGTCTCTGTCGACAGGTCGCCGCTACGGCCTGATTGGCCGCAATGGCCTTGGGAAGACCACACTGCTGAAGATGCTGGCAAGCCGCAGCCTGCGCGTCCCCGCCCACATCACGATCCTGCACGTGGAGCAGGAGGTCGCTGGCGACGACACCGGTGCGTTGCAGAGCGTGCTGGAGAGCGACACGGTCCGGGAGGGGCTCCTGACGGAGGAACGCCTGCTCAATGCGCGCATCGCCAACGGAACGTACGTCAGTCTTCCTTAACCAAATACTCCCCAAAGCTGTCAACGGAGGGGTCATATTGGAAGGAGTCAATACTGGCAGCCTTTGCCGATTTAAATGTTATTGTTGTTGTTGCAGGATTTTTACACTTTTGGGTTTGAACCGCATCAGTCACTAAACCTGTCGTTTATTCTATTCCATTTTAGTGCTGAAGGAATGGAGACTGTTCGACTGTCGGAGATCTACGCTAAACTGGAGGAGATTGAAGCAGACAAGGCACCTGCCCGGTAAAGAGCCACACTAAACATGTCTGCATATAATAACTCCCGAGTGGCGCAGTGGTCTAAGGCTGTGCCACTAGAGATCCTGGTTCGAATCCATGCTCTGTCGTAGCCGGCAGCGACCGGGAGACCCATGGGGCGGCGCACAATTGGCCCAGCGTCTTCCAGGGTATTGGAGGGAATGGCCGGCAGGGATGTAGCTCAGTTGGTAGAGCATGGCGTTTGCAACGCCAGGGTTGTGGGTTCGTTTCCCACGGGGGGGGGGGGGGGAGTATGAAAAAAAACTCACTTAACTGTAAGTCGCTCTGGATAAGAGCGTCTGCTAAATGACTAAAATGTAAATGTATAATGTCATATCTGTGTTTTACGTTACATTAGCAGTGCATTTATATGTATACATAATGCCATTGGTGTGTATACTGTACAACAGACGACTATGCACGTTGCAGTATAATTGTAGCAGGAGTGTATGCATTTGATGATTTGATGAGTTGATTGTTTGCTGTTTCTCTCTCTCTCTCTTATACAGAGCTTCAATCATCCTATGTGGCTTAGGTTTTTCTCCCAAAATGCAAACACAGACAACCAAGTAAGTTCTGTCTGTCTGTCTCTGTCTGTCTCTGTCTCTGTCTGTCTGTGATTAACTGATCTCTCTGTGTGTGTTCTCTTCACAGGGAGTTTTCTGGAGGGTGGAGAATGAGATTAGCTCTGGCTAGAGCGCTCTTCGCCAAGTGAGTCTCACTTCTTTTATCCAAAGGATAGAGATTATATTAGAATATTTATGTACATTTATAAATCTCCTATGAGTTATTTCCTGAATCTCAATGTATAGACCATACATTCAACAGACAGTTTATCAAGACATAAATGTGGCGCTGCTAAATATTGTTAAGCTTCAAGTTTCTAAATAATGTGTATATTTTGTATTTTATCTCTTTTTAGGCCTGATCTTTTGTTACTTGATGGTGAGTGATTAAACCACATTAAGTATTTTAGTTTTGAGGATCTTTGAACAGTTCAATGGTGTCCAGTAGTCAGCGCAAACGCCCTCTGACTGTCTGTCTCTGTCTTTCTCTCTGTTTGTTTCTCAGAGCCCACCAACATGTTGGATGTCCGAGCCATTCTCTGGCTGGAGAATTACCTGCAGGTAGGTTACTCCTGCTTACCGACACTCGTAAAATTGCCGAATCCAGTTCGGTGCCCTTCTTCCACCATATTTCTTCCTCAAGTCCAGGGCAAGGGGTGTGAATGAGTTTCAAAACAGGAACATACGTTATGTTGTTTTAATTTCCAGAATGTGGTGGGTAATTCAACTTTGCTTTCAACTTTTGCCTCTGGGGGTGTTCTTGAGAGAAAAGGGGTCCGCTAAATTGGCAGGAAGGGACACCTGCTCACGCCCAGAGCAACGCATACATGGTTGGCCTCAAATGGATTGTGTGGTATCAAGAGTTATGAAATTGCAAACAACACTCAAGCCAAAATGTGACTTAAAGGTTGTGTCCCAATAATATTTCCCTTCTCCTGAAATGTGCACTCATTCAATACTTCCTACAAATCTAAAGACATTGGATTAGTGGAGGCATGGGCTAGGTGGAGTTACCACCATATTTCTTATACCAGTTATTTCCTTTCAAATCAGTGAATGGAAGTGAACGAGTGCACACTTTGGGAGGAAGGAGAGATAATTGTGACATAGCTAAAGCATGAGCAACAAGTTACATTTCCATATTGCCTGTTTAACTCCTCCGCCCCCCACAGACCTGGCAGACCACCATCCTGGTGGTGTCCCACGACCGGAACTTCCTCAACGCCGTGGTGACTGACATCATCCACCTGCACTCGCAGCGGCTGGAGAGTTACCGCGGCGACTACGAGAACTTTGTCAAGACCAAAGAGGACCGCCTGAAGAACCAGCAGAGGGAGTACGAGGCCCAGTTTCAGTACAGAGAGCACATCCAGGTTAGGAACCCACCCACAGTTTCAGTACAGAGAGCACATCCAGGTTAGGAACCCACCCACAGTTTCAGTACAGAGAGCACATCCAGGTTAGGAACCCACCCACAGTTTCAGTACAGAGAGCACATCCAGGTTAGGAACCCACCCACAGTTTCAGTACAGAGAGCACATCCAGGTTAGGAACCCACCCACAGTTTCAGTACAGAGAGCACATCCAGGTTAGGAACCCACCCACAGTTTCAGTACAGAGAGCACATCCAGGTTAGGAACCCACCCACAGTTTCAGTACAGAGAGCACATCCAGGTTAGGAACCCACCCACAGTTTCAGTACAGAGAGCACATCCAGGTTAGGAACCCACCCACAGTTTCAGTACAGAGAGCACATCCAGGTTAGGAACCAACACATTTTCTCTCGCATTGAGGTACGCACAGACAAGCTAAAAGGCCTATGGCAAGCGTAAAAACAATGCACTTTCTAAGCATTTGTCTTTTGCTGATTAGTGTGTTTATTTTATATGATCTTGATATGCCAAACGTATCAACGTCCTGCTAAATACTTATTTGATTATATAATATAGTACCTTATTACTATATATTATAATTGTGGATTGATCACCTCCCTCTGTGTCCCAGGTGTTTATCGACCGGTTCAGATACAACGCCAACAGAGCGGCACAGGTGCAGAGCAAACTGAAGCTCTTAGAAAAACTGTGAGTAACCATCTATTTCAAAAATAAAATGTTAACTCGCACCCCACCCTGCTTTCTCTCATTGAGTGCTCCTGGGAATTACAGCCTTAAAGTCCATTTCATTGTAAAGGATAACTCCCATCTTGCATGGGGAATGGTCATTGTAAAGAATATCTATCGTGGTCATCCGTCGTCCATTCCCTCGCTGCTCTTCTCTCCTGCAGGCCTGAACTCAAACCTCTGGAGAAAGAAACCGAAGTCACCTTAAAGTAAGAGACCGCTCCTCCTGTCCCGAATGAAGTCTGGTTTCAATTCTCATATTCATCTGAGAGCTAACGTGTGTGTGTTTGTCCACAGGTTCCCTGATAACTTTGAGAAGCTGTCCCCCCCAGTGCTCCAGTTAGATGAAGTGGAGTTCTACTATAACCCTGACCAGCGCCTCTTCACACAGCTGTCTGTGTCTGCAGACCTGGAGTCTCGCATCTGCATTGTACGTATTAAACACGCTGCTCTCAATCCTGATAACTAGCTTGATTGATACAAGTTCTAAATCACATGCATTGCTAATAGTTAGGGATGCATAATTATTATAATTGTTCTATTTTTTGTTTATTGTATTTTACACCCTTTTTCTCCCCAATTTCGATCTTGTCTCATCGCTGCAACTTCCCAATAGGCTCGGGAGGCAAAGGTCGTGTCATGTGTCCTCCGAAACATGACCCGCCAAACTGTGCTTCTTAACACCTGCCCGCTTAACCTGGAAGCCAGCCGCACCAATGTGTCGGAGGAAACGCTGTTCAACTGCTGACCGAAGTCAGCCCGGCCCGCCACAAGGAGTCGCTAGAGCGCGATGAGCCTAGTAAAGCCCCCACGGCCAAACCCTCCCCTAACCCGGACGACGCTGGGCCACTCGGGAGGCCCCCTAATATTGTACTTTAAACCTGTGAAACACTTCCACAGCTAATGCTCTGTGCTAAAGCAGTACATACAGTCGCTCTCTTGCTCTCTCTCAGGTGGGTGAGAACGGGGCGGGTAAATCCACCATGCTCAAGCTACTGATGGGAGAGTTGGCGCCTGTCAACGGCATCAGACACGCCCATCGGTGAGTGTGTCCACAGGCTCCCTTATACATTTCAGAAGCTGTGTGTGTGTGTGTGTGTGTGTGCACGTGCAGGGGAGTAAACAACAGCTTTATTTCCCTTTCTCGCTCAGGAACCTGAAGATCGGTTACTTCAGTCAGCACCATGTGGATCAACTGGACCTCAACGTGTGTTCAATTGAGCTGCTACTCAACAAATTCCCAGGTGACCACCACTACCACCAAAACATACCAATACTGATCATTATCAAAGCCCGGGCTTTGTTCATTAGGCACCAAATGCAAAGAAAACTGATTGGAACAGGGACGGGCTACCTGGACTTGGTCCAATAAGAAATGCCCAGTTTTTTCGTTGTGTGGCCTAATGAACACAACCCTGGTGGTTGTTACGGATCCCTATAGACAGGTTAGCTGACAACGTCACAAAAACAATGCGCTCGCTTCAATGGGGCAAAAGCAGTGTGTTGTGATTCTGGATGGCCAGATAGCTAGCAACAATGACAAGAACGCTGCCATGTGGGGAATCGTAGGTGGCTCGTTTCAGCTAGTTTTATCTTGTTTTGAGGTGTTTTGACTGATGTCATGTCTATGCTAATATGGCTAAGATTCGCTAGCTAGCTAACCAAGAACTGTAAAGATGTATTTGAGAGACAACAAGTGCTCATTGTGCAAATGTATTTATGTTTTCAATAAACATTGGAGACTAATTATAATTTACATTCTGGCAACAATCTAAGCCAACCCTGTCTGTTTTGGCCCATGTTGCTTAACAACCAACCCATCTATAGCCTGCAATCTTTGTCATCTGTAACCCCTTTTTTCTCTCTCTCCCACCCAGGTCGTAACGAGGAGGAGTACAGGCACCAGCTGGGTGGCTATGGGATAACAGGGGAGCTGGCCACTCGGCCGGTGGCCAGTCTATCAGGAGGGCAGAAGAGCCGGGTGGCCTTCGCCCAGATGACCATGCCTTGGTAATGTATTTTATTATTACACATTGTCAAATTGTCATTTTGTGGTAGTAAACTGGTTTTAGTTGAGTTGAAAAAACGTCATTGTACAAGCAGTATACAACCTCCTGACCATGACGTCTAATAATGGTAATGTAACCATCTCTCTATCCTTCAGATGTTAAACAGACTGGTAGTTGTTGCAAGAGTAGGGATGTTAACCCCAGTGTCTGGGCTAAATTCCCTAATGGCCCCTCTTACCACCACAGCCACCTAATCATCATCCCCAGCTTCCAATTGGCTTGTTCAACCCCTTTTCTCTCCCCTGTAACTCATCTCCAGGTCGTTGCTGTAAATGAGAATTTGTTTTCAGCCAACTTACCTTGTAAATACAAAATATACTGTACATCTGTCAAACTGCCCTGATAACACTAGGAACAGAACTGGAGAGAGAGGACATGAAAGAACGCTATTCATTTTGGGAAGTGTCAAGATCCTAATGATGAGATGGTCATAATCAGTCGCAGAATTTGTTATTATTAGGATTGCCGGCAGCAAAGCACCCCTAATAAAATGGTCGGAATAGCTCGTCGGAATAGCTCAATGCCCGATTGGTATTTTTAAAATACTTTGGCTACATCAACATCACTACTCAGACAACAAAAACGGCAACCAATTGGCCCATAGGTGGCGCTGTATTAAATATTTAAAGTCTAAGGTTCAGCCCCACTGCCCCGTTTGACGTACAACCACGAAATTTGGTATATCAGTGTTTCTCATCTTAAGGAACAAATTTGCTGCAAGGACCCATGAGGTCGGCCATATTGAATTTTTATCAAATCTTCAAAGATCTTCTTCACATGAACCGCATATCCAGTAGACTTGACTCGAAACTCAGAATGTATGTTGATCATATCAGTCTCTACTAAGTTTGAGAAAAGCATCAAAAGATGGAAGAGGAAATGGCAACTTTGTAAAAAATATTAATAACTTCACTTGTCTTCGCTCGATCACCTTGAAACTGATTAAGGGTCTTGACGACACTAGTAGGAAGGTGTATTTCAAAGCAGGTGTTGATATAAAAAAAAAAAAACGGAAGCAGCAAGCAATTCAGTTGTGAACCTCAAACAGCTAGCATTTATGCTAATGCTAAAAAGATTTTACAATTCTTCAAATGAAGTCTCGGGATTTGGCGACTACAGTGTTTGTTAGTTCCTACAAAGTTTGCAAAGGAATAATTGCTACGTCAAAAATAGCCACTTCATGGCGCTATAAATAATTTACTATTATATTTTGTGAACACTTGCACATAGTAATTTGAATTGTTACATGTACAAGGATGTATAATGCTTCAATGCAGCCGTCTCTTTCAGTCTGCTCATAAGCCAGCACCAGCACCCCGTTTCATTGGTGCTGGCAGCTATATTTGTTTCTCTCTTTCTCACGTTTTCTCTCTTTCTCTCTCAGTCCAAACTTCTATATCCTTGACGAGCCGACCAATCACCTGGACATGGAAACGATCGAGGCTCTAGCGAAAGCGCTCAACAAATTCAAAGTAAGCTTGTTTCACTGGAAGTCGCAGAGAAAATGTCCTTTATTTATCTTAGTGTTAATCAGTAGAGTAAATCTGGATAAACTGTAATTCATGGATCGGTTTTCTTTAAACAGCCACTATAAGCTTCTTTTGGCCACCACTAGCTAACAATCAATGGAAGTGATAGCACTTGAACACTTGAAGTTTTAATGTGCGTATATACCATTTAACTCTCTCCTCAGGGTGGGGTGGTCCTTGTCTCTCACGACGAGCGTCTGATCCGGCTGGTGTGCAGAGAGCTGTGGGTCTGTGAGCACGGGAACGTGCGGCGAGTGGAGGGGGGCTTCGACGAGTACCGGGATATCTTGCAGGAACAGTTCCGCAAGGAGGGCTACCTGTGAGAGGGAGGAGGGACCTTCCAAAACCTTCCACCCCAGGCAACTCACTCATTATGCCAACTATGACAGACCCCCCACTGACATGCCAAGTTGCCAATTGACTTCAATTCCCAATAACCTAAAGCCCCCCCACTCTTCACTCCCCGACTGCCAATCATCATCCTCAGGGGGAGAACTTTGTTGAACTGGCTACTGTCCCAGCATCCTCTCTGCTCCCCCACACCACCGTTTTTGTTTTGTTTGTGATTTAGCTCGGCCCGGCAGTTCAAAGTGGCATTGTCCTGAAGCAGACAGGTTTTAGGGTACATGGAGTGCAAACTCTGTCCACATGGAATGTCAAGTGTGCGTGCACTCTGTGTACTCCGAAACTGCTCCGGCCTCCCCACTCCCAACCTTCCTGATCATAAAAGTTTGAGCCGGTTTGGTTCACTTAACAACAAGGATGATATTCCATCCTGTGAAGGTGGGGGTGTTGTACCTTTTAACTGTTAACCCCATGTGGGCAGCCATCTTGGAATAACGCTACATCCTTTAGCTCTCAGTAATATCAGTGAAGGGGATGAATACGTACATCAGAAAATGTGTATTTATTTCTCAATTTCTTCATCCATGTTGAATATGTGTGCGTGTTCATGTGTTTTATGTGTGTGATTGAGTGCGAGAGGGATGAAGTTTCTCCTGAACATGTGTGCTCGTGATGGAGAGGGAGCATCTCTTAATCAGTGGAACCCGGGGTGACGCTGAAATGGCACCCTGTTCCCAACATAGTGCAGTCATTTCAGACACCCCTGGTCGTGTTCATTAGGCAGGCAACGAAAGAAAACAGTCTGAAACAGGGAGGCACTACGTGGACTTGTTAAAAAAGAAACGCTTGTTTTCTGTTGCAAAAACGTTTTCTGTTACGTTACGTAATGAACACGATCCTGGAAACATCCATCTGTGTTAGCATTGGAAACCACCAGCACAACAACGGTGACTTCTACAAAAACAGCAGCTGGCTACAGGTCTCTCTGGGGAAGAAGCAGCAGTATCTCCAAGTAAAGAGGGGTATTATTATTATAAATAAATATAAATACATCTTAAAGACAATTATCAGAATAAAAAAAACTAAATTCCTTCTGCTTCAATGTTATATCGCTAACTTATAAATAGCTGTTTTAAGAACTATTCAATCATAACACCATGCTAATAAAAAAGCATTAATCATCCATCTGCCAGGTCTGATGATCTGCTCTCTGCAATTGTTAAACTAACACCATGCAACATTACTTTATTTTGAGAAAGTGGTCCCCGTATCATAACAATCCAGAGAAGCTGTATGGATAGAGTGTCTACCAAACGACAGGAAACACTCCAATAATATAAATGTTTTGTGAAAATTGTAAACGGATGCTTAATCATTCACAGGTTGAGTTTTACATTTTACGTCATTTAGCAGACGCTCTTATCCAGAGCGACTTACAGTTAGTGCATAAATTATTCTTTTATTTATTTATTTTTTCACCCCGTGGGAATCGAACTCACAACCCTGGCGTTGCAAACGCCATGCTCTACCAACTGAGCTACCTCCCTGCCGGCCATTCCCTCCCCTACCCTGGACGACGCTGGGCCAATTGTGCGCCGCCCCATTGGTCTCCCGGTTGCGGCCGGCTACAGCAGAGCCTGGATTCGAACCAGGATCTCTAGTGACACAGCTAGCACTGCGGTGCAGTGCCTTCGACCACTGCGCCACTCAGGAGTTCATAAAGGTGTGGACTGTGCATATGGTGCCATTCAGACTTGTCAATATGAACTTCCTTTAGTCGATTACTTCAAAGCTCTCTACAGATTGGTGTACCTACAGAAAGTAGAGCAAGTCATAGTCATTTGACACTGAGGGGGTTCATTTATCTGGCCCGTGTTACCCCAGTGGGAGAAGTTTGAATCGGGTGAAAAGTGACTCCTGGGCGTGAGCCAGGTGCCCCGCTATGGCCGACGGTGAAGTCAGCTCAAAACAAAAGTGACGTAATTAAGCACGTGGAGTGATGAGTAGGATTCTGTGATTGCTTTTGATAACGCTTTATCTGCCTTCCAAATTAAAACTAGTTTATTTTATGGAAAAGAGATGTATGTTTCTGGACGATGCACCATGCTGCCTTGTTGACAACATGACCGAGCTCCTTACCTCCCCGCTTTCGCCCGATGATGTGACGGGCCAGAGTAATAAAACTCGTAATAAAGCTCAATGTAAAGAACAGTAGCTTAACTGTTAATGCATTCAACAACACTGCACTGTTGCCTATCAAAATTAGACAAAAGTGATCTAAATCCGAAACAGACCAAACAAATGGAAGGTAAACAACACAATGACAGAGCTTTGGGAGTGAACATGAGAAAAACGTCAGACTATTTCAATGCAACGGCCATTGAAAATAAATGGGTGGGATAGGATGTTTGAGAGCATTGCATTACAATATAAATATAGTCATATATTCTGCATACAGTACATTCTGAAGTCCACAATACTGAACATCACTGATAACACACATCGACAGGGATGTACTTTACCCTCAATTACTATGCAAACACCTGCTTGAATAAAAACATAACTCATTCCCTGGCACAGCTCTCTTACAATGAAAAAATAATCTTTACCATAATTCTTGTACATTTCAAATCCATTTTCTTTTCGGGACCTGTCATATGATCTCCTCCAGATCGCTTTGCCTGTCCCAGTCAGGTGGTTGTTCCATTGGCAGCCCTGCGATGTCCTCAAACACTGGGGCGTAGGTGTCGAAACACACACACATGTTCAGGAGCTGCTCCCGTTGCTGAGGGGAATCACCAGAGTCAGCCATCCTAGTCCTGTAGTGGGCCTGAGAGGGGGGCACAGGGTCTCTAAATGGGGAGGGGACAGGCAGGCTCTCCTCTGGTTCTCTGTGGGTGCGGCTGGTGACCAGTGTCTGTTCCCGTAACAAGCCCTGGGCGCTTAGGAGAGAGAAGTCCCTGTCAAAGTCGACCTCTGAGCAGGTAAAGGCGCTGTAGGTGTCGCTCTCTGAAGAACTTCCCATCCCTCTGTTTATCCCTCTGGTAGCACTGCCAGGTCTGGGCCGTTGAGCCAGCTGACCCGACTGCTGATGTAACTGAAAGGGTTCCCTGTCATGCTGTGTTTGGGCTGATTCCCCGTGGCCCGCAGGGTTGTTCAGCCTCCTCACCTCCTCCACAGAGAGACACTGAGGAGGACCCTTCAGCGCTGGCACTGCCAACCTCCCGGGGAAGCGGCGCTCTTCACCCTCTCTCCACCTATCATCTACCTGACTCAGCGGCCCACTGGCCTTACCACATCCTCTGTCTCTGGAGACTCTTTGGTCAGGGTGTGTCAGGGGCCTCTGCCACAGCTCCACTGACCTGTTTCTGTCATCTGGATTTGAGGATATTTTCTTCTGACATCCCCTCAATCCTCCTCCCCTCCCTCCAGTGTCTGTCCTCTCCCAGTCTGTGTTGTGAAAAGGCCCAGTGACCCTTAGAGAACCAGTCTCAGATTGGAACACACTATAGACACTGTCTATCTCGTAGTATTCCAGCTCCTCACTGTGTTCACCAGCCTCCACACCTGGCCTGGCTGTACTGTACCCGTCCTGGACAGCCTCCCTCTCCCTCGGTCTGTCCGCCCGGATCACGTCAGGTGGCTTCCCTCTCACCGCAGGTACAGCCCTAGTGGTCCTTGGGCCTTCGAAACAAAACGCTCCGTTGTCCGTCCCTCCCTCTCTCCGCTGCGGTGAGCCACTGTCAGCCTGGCGCTTCTGTGGCCGGTGGCGGCAGGCGTTAGTGTTGCGTCTCCTCAGGCAGAGGAACACACCCAGGCAGAGGAGGACGCAGGTGACGGGGAGGACCACGCCGATGACCCACAAAGGAGCGGAGGGGCCCCTGAGGGCCTCCTGATCAGAACACACTCCTCTTGCTCCTCCCCGGAAGTCCTCTGGTGGAGGGGAGGAGCAGAGCTCACAGGAGCCAGCCGTAAGGCAGATACAGGAGCTGTTCCTAGTGCCAGCCGTGCCACCGCAGGCTGGAGCAGTGGTACAGGGCAGAGAGATGCAAGGTAGTCTGGCATTGGTGGGGACCTCCTCAGGGCAGGTTGTGGAAATACAGGAGCCTGGACGTACCAGAGGAAATGTGTGTTACAGTATGGACAGGTAAGAGGAGCCTATCTGTTAGATGTAATGTGTGCGCGTGTGTGTCAGTGACTCACATGAGGGAACACAGGAGCCTGGGGACTCACAGCTGGACTGAAGCAGGGTAGAACTGGGCCAAACCTCCACTATCAGACTGTAGCCGCTGACTGGCAGGACATGGCCATTGTATCGAACATACTCCACACAACCAGAGAACCCTACTGAGGGGAGACAGGAAACATACTTGCCTGATCCAAAAACGTTTCCCTAGCCCCCTAGGTAGTTGTGTAGATCTGAAAGACTGGACGTAAATCAATATGGTATGATAGCTCCACTTTGCCTTCAAATAGGTAAAGTATATTTCTGGGATGGGAGTTCCAGTCACTTTATGTATTTTGACTGGACAGATGTAAATACAGATTGAGATATAGACAGAGAAAAAGTAGTGAAGGGCACAGACAGTTGGCAGAGCGGGGGCTTGAACCCCCGTCGCCGAGGGGGGAATGTGAGTCCAGTGTCGGGAGCTTAGACTGCTACACCAGACTCCAGCACAATAATGTGGATTTTTGTCCATATTGCAACACCTATCCAATCCACTCTGATCTATGCGAGTACATAGGAGGTAGGGACTAGGGGTGGATTTGGGATTGGCTGAACATCTTCACACATTATCAGTAATACCCTCAGAGAACACGATTACAGTAACACACACTGTTAATGAATAGACAGCTCAGTAGTCTGTCATTTACTGACAAATTAAAATGTCTGTAAAACAAAAATATATTCCGATCCGGGGTGAAGTTTCCCCTAGGTACAGGTCTAGGATTCCCAATCCTAACCTTAACCATTAGTGGGGAAAATGCTAAACTGACCGAAGATCAGCATCTAAGGGCAACTTCATCCTACATCATTTCTTCCCACCTGGACGCTTGATTCTCGTGTCTCCGGATGGTGGTGGAGTTGTAGTCGCTCCAAGGACTATCTTCTCCACATTGACAGCACTCAGGTCCAGAGCTCCGTCGTCGCTGGTGTTCATGACTGTCTGTCCGTCCATCAGAAGTCCAACTGTGGACAGATGGAGGACATGCCAGTCCCCGTCAGCCATGCTGGTCTCTGTGGCTACCTAGCATGATAAATGATGATAATAACGGTATTTAGGCTATAGCACTGACAGCTAACGCATATATTGAGAATGAGGCCCATAAGGGAATTGAACCCAAACTCTGGTGTTGTCAGCAGCACCATGCTCCAACGCTGGTGGTTACCTCTGAGAGGACGCCTGACGTTCTGGCTCTGGAGACGTACAGGAGGTTTCCATCCATCACCTGAACGTGTCAATGGAAACTTGGTTTAGAATACGGACAGCTAAGAGGCAACACTTCTACTCTGATAATGCAGACACCAACAGAACTCTGTATGTACAGTGCATTCGGAAAGTATTCAGACCCCTTGACTTTTTACACATTTTGTTACATTAGCCTTATTCTAAAATTGATTAAATTGTTTTTTCCCCCCTCATCTATACACACAATACCCCATAATGACAAAGCAAAAACAGGTTTTTAGAAATGTTAGCAAAAAAAAACATACCTTATTTACAAACAGTACCAGTCAAAAGTTTGGACACACCTACTCATTCAAGGGTTTTTCTTTATTTTTACTATTTTCTACATTGTAGAATAATAGTGAAGACATCGAAACTATGAAAGAACACATGGAATCATGTAGTAACCTAAAAAGTGTTAAACAAATCAAACTATATTTTATATTTGAGATTCAAATAGACACCCTTTGCCTTGAAGACAGCTTTGCACACTCTTGGCATTCTCTCAACCAGCTTCACCTGGAATGGTTTTCCAACAGTCTTGAAGGAGTTCCCACATATGCTGAGCACTTGTTGGCTGCTTTTCCTTCACTCTGAATTGGGTTGAGGTAGGGGGGATTGTGGAGGCCAGGTCATCTGATGCAGCACTCCATCACTCTCCTTCTTTGTAGAATAGCCCTTACACAGCCTGGAGGTGTGTTGGGTCATTGTCCTGTTAAAAAACAAATGATAGTCCCTCTAAGCCCAGACCAGATGGGATGGCATATCGCTGCAGAATGCTGTGGTAGCCATGCTGGTTAAGTGTGCCTTGAATTCTAAATAAATCACAGACAGATCACCAGCAAAGCACCCCCACACCATAACACCTCCTCCTCCATGCTTTACAGTGGGAAATACACTTGCGGAGATCATTTGTTCACCCACACCACTTCTCACAAAGACACAGCAGTTGGAACCAAAAATCTCAAATTTGGACTCCAGACCAAAGGACAAATTTCCACCGGTCTAATGTCCATTGCTCGTGTTTCTTGGCCCAAGCAAGTCTCTTCTTATTATTGGTGTCCTTTAGTAGTGGTTTCTTTGCAGCAATTAGACCATGAAGGCCTCATTCATACAGTCTCCTCTGAACAGTTGATGTTGAGATGTCTGTGACTTGAACTCAGGGAAACATTTATTTGGGATGCAATTTCTGAGGCTAGTAACTAATTAACTTATCCTCTGCAGCAGAGGTAACTCTGGGTCATCCATTACAGTGGCGGTCCTCATGAGAGCTAGTTTCATCATAGCGCTTGATGGTTTTTGCGACTGCACTTGAAGAAACGTTCAAAGTTCTTGAAATGTTCCGTATTGACTGACCTTCATGTCTTAAAGTTAGGATGGACTGTCGTTTCTCTTTGCTTATTTGAGCTGTTCTTGCCATAATATGGACTTGGTCTTTTACCAACTAGAGATATCTTCTGTATACCACCCTTACCTTGTCACAACACAACTGATTGGCTCAAACGCATTAAGAAGGAAATACATTCCACAAATTAACTTTTAAGAAGGCACACCTGTTAATTGAAATGCATTCCAGGTGACTACCTCATGAAGCTGGTTGCGAGAATGCCAAGAGTGTGCAAAGCTGTCATCAAGGCAAACGGTGGCTATTTGAAGAATCTCAAATATCAAATATATTTTGATTTGTTTAACACCTTTTTAGTTACTACATGACTCCATATGTGTTATTTCATAGTTTTTATGTCTTCACTATTATTCTGCAATGTAGAAAATAGTAAAAATAAAGAAAAACCCTTAAAGCAGGAAGCACCAGTGACTCGGTTAATAAGGAAGTGGTCAAATGAGACTGGAATATGTTCCGGGATTCTTCCGATAGCATTGAGGAGTACACCACATCAGTCACTGATAAGTGCATCGATGACGTCGTACCCACAGTGACCGTACGTACATACCCCAACCAGAAGCCATGGATTACAGGCAACATCCGCACTGAGCTAAAGGGTAGAGCTGCCGCTTTCAAGGAGCGGGACTCTAACCCGGACGCTTATAAGAATTCCTGCTATGCCCTCCGATGAACCATCAAACAGGCAAAGAGTCAATACAGGACTAAGATGGAATCGTACTGCACTGACGCTCGTCGGATGTGGCAGGGCTTGAAAACTATTACAGACTACAAAGGGAAGGACAGCCGCGAGCTGCCCAGTGACACAAGCCTACCAGACGAGCTAAATCACTTCTATGCTTGCTTCGAGGCAAGCAACACTGAAGCATGCATGAGAGCATCGGCTGTTCCAGATGACTACGTGATCACGCTCTCCGTAGCCATTGTGAGTAAGACTTTTAAGCAGGTCAACATTCACAAGGCCGCAGGGCCAGACGGATTACCAGGACGTGTACTCCGAGCATGTGCTGACCAACTGGCAAGTGTCTTCACTGACATTTTCAACATGTCCCTGACTGAGTCTAATACGAACATGTTCCAAGCAGACCACCATTGTCCCTGTGCCCAAGGACACTAAGATAACCTGCCTAAATGACTACCGACCCGTAGCACTGACGTCTGTAGCCATGAAGTGCTTTGAAAGGCTGGTCATGGCTCACATCAACACCATTATCCCAGAAACCCTAGACCCACTCCAATTTGCATACCGCCCCAACAGATCCACAGATGATGCAATCTCTATTGTACTCCACACTGCCCTTTCCCACCTGGACAAAAGGAACACCTATGTGAGAATGCTGTTCATTGACTACAGCTCAGCATTCAACACCATAGTGCCCTCAAAGCTCATCACTAAGCTAAGGACCCAGGGACTAAATTTCTAAACACCGGTTTTTGCGTTGTCATTATGGGGTTCTGTGTGTAGATTTAATCCATTTTAGAATAAGGTTGTAACGTAACAAAATGTGTTAAAAGTCAAGGGGTCTGAATACTTTCCGAATGCACTGTATGTGCTATATAGAGTTGGCACCCAAATGGCACCCTATTCTGTAGTGCACTACTTTGACCAGGGCCCACAGTGCTAAAGTAGTGCACTACAGAATAGGGTGCCATTTGGAACCAAAGTTCAACCAAAGAATGGCATTTAAGAAGCTCTCTCCTCCACTCTCCATTGCAAACTCAATTTTCTGTGTCCTATAACTAAACTTTATACATTCAAATTCTCTGAACACATACTGGTGTGAACAGTACAGAGATACTGCTCCGTGAAATACCGATAATCTCACATGCTGATAGTCTCATGTGCAGCTCACCCTGAGCTCAAAGTGTCCTTTCCTTCCCAAAACGAACAGCAACACTGCATCTCTCTCCACAGTCTTCACCTTGACTTCTATCTCAGAGAGATCTCTGCTGCTCTCCGTCTCTCCTCTGCCTCCGTCCAGCAGGTCTCTCAGCTGCTGCTCTCTCCTGTAGCTCTCTCTGACCACATACTCTATGTAGTCGCTACTGCCCAGCTGTAACACACGCTCCTCTGAAATCTCTGTCCGAAATAAAATAGTTGGTCAGTGGAGCAGCGAGTCATTGAACAGGTTGGTCACACCATGAAACAAAAGCACAGTCAGGTTTAGTGGGACTATAGTACCAGGAAGGCTGGGGTTAATTCTGTTTTTAATTCAGTCAATTCAGGGAGTAAATTGTGTAAATTGCCCATTGTTTTTAAGGTTTTCTTGAATTGTCCCCACGTGTGTAGGCCAGTACCTGTGTTACAGGTGGTTCCAGTGTAGCGGTGTGTACACTGACAGATGTAGTGAGACCAGAGGTCCTGACACACTCCTCCGTTCAGACAAGGACCACTGAGACACGGAGACACTGCTGCTCGAGGACACCTAGTGACCATACCATCCATTGGTTATACTGTATGTTAACTGTCAATAGGACTATACCATCTATCTGTTGTACTGTATGGATTCACTCATCTGACATAAGATTTTGACAACAACAGTTGGCTCCTCTACAGCTACGACAACCGCTACATCCCACCGTCCTAGGCCAAATCCTGAATGGTACCCTTTTCCCTCTATAGTACACTTATTTGGTCTCACAGAGGATGTCCAATCTGAGCTCATACCTCTCCAAGAAGTTGTAGGCCGCCAGAGCTTTGGAGGGCCCTAAAGGTATACCGTTTACTTTTATGTTTCTCACACAGCCAACAAAGTCATGAGTCTGGACTTGACCAGGCCGCAGCAGAACAGACTCGATAGACCTGACTCCTCCAAACGTCATGTTACTGCCGCCAACGTCCAGGGTCCTGGGAGGGACAGCAGCGACCAAGAACACATTGTAGTAAGTGATAATGAATACAACACATTGATATGACATTCAATTAAATAAAACCCACATATAATGTAATAATGAGTAGACAAGTACCTTTTGGAGCCAATGCCTTTACTTTGAGAGAGACAAAATCCAGTAGCCTTCCCATCAGGACAGTGGTCCACTTGTAGAGAGCCTATCTATAAGATGAAAACTAAAATAAGTGTGTGCGCGCTTGTATGTCTGCGTGTATGTGTGTGTATGTCTGCGTGTATGTGCGCTCTTGGGACTCACGTTTCCTATCCTCCTGACGGTAATGCTGTGAAAGCGTCCATCGGCCACCTGCCTTTCCGTCTGCAGACGGACAGCTCCAGAGCCCAGGTCGTATGAGAGACAGACCCTTCCCTTCACAACCTCCAGTGCCATGTACTCAGCACTGCCCGGGCCTGATACCAAGGACCATAAAGGGGGTGTTATCCTCAATAATTTTACAACAATACAACTTTATTGTCCATTAGTTACAGCGAACAACGGAAATGTGTTTTCTGCTCCATTCTCAATCCCCCCAGCCACATCACACACACAGTTTTTAAATGCAGTGTATCACCATGTGTAGTTTTTACACTGAGGTTTTATTAATAGCAAATAAGTCAAATCAATCCATCTACCTGCAGGGTTATATAGCAGCAGGCTGTTCTGCTGCAACGTGGCCAGCTCCAGGGAGACAAAGTTACTCCTGGGATCTAGAGGAGGAAACTCCATATAGGACAACTCCTCAAAGCCATAGCTGTCCTCTTCGCAGTGGATGCCACTCACACCTGAGGGAGAAGACAAAGGTAAATGTAGAGCTAACAAGAATGCTGAAAATAGGTTCATAATTGTGAAAGGAGGATCAGGACAGACATTTTGAAGGGATTCAAATAAATAATTTCAGCATTCTGGTTACACATTTTAAGGACTAAGCAAGCCGCCTGATCTCGCAAGCTTACATGAATGGTTCGCTACACGGACACTATCAGTGTTCAGTGGTCTGGTAAATGTTTCGCTTTCTGGTAAGTGTGGCAGCACACAACAATTAAGTCAAATGTACACTACCGTTCAAAAGTTTTAGGACACCTACTCATTCAAAGGTTTTTCTTTATTTTTACTATTTTCTAAATTGTAGAATAATAGTGAAGACATCAAAACTATGAAATAACACATATGGAATGATGTAGTAACCAAAAACGTGTTAAACAAATCTAAATATATTTTATATTTGAGATTCTTCAAATAGCCACCGTTTGCCTTGATGACAGCTTTGCACACTCTTGACATTCTCTCAACCAGCTTCACCTGGAATGCTTTTCAACAGTCTTGAAGGAGTTCCCACATATGCTGAGCACTTGTTGGCTGCTTTTCCTTCACTCTGCGGTCCGACTCATCCCAAACCATCTCCATTTGGGAATTGTGGAGGCCAGGTCATCTGATGCAGCACTCAATCACTCTCCTTCTTGGTCAAATAGCCCTTACACAGCCTGGAGGGCCTGTTGAAAAACAAATGATAGTCCCACTAAGCCCAAACCAGATGGGATGGAGTATCGCTGCGCCTTGAAATCTAAATAAATCACAGACAGTGTCACCAGCAAAAGCACACCCACACCATAACACCTCCTTTATGGTGTTGGCTTTATGGTGGGAAATATGTGCCCTTGAGCAAGGCACTTAACCCTAATTGCTCCTGTAAGTCGCTCTGGATAAGAGCGTCTGCTAAATGATTAAATGTAAATGTAAATGTACACATGCGGAGATCATCCGTTCACCCACACCGTGTCTCACAAAGACACAGCGGTTGGAACTGCAACCGGTTGGAACGGTTGGACTCCAGACCAAAGGATACATTTCCACCAGTCTAATGTTCATTGCTCGTGTTTCTTGGCCCAAGCAAGTATCTTCTTCTTATTGGTGACCTTTAGTAGTGGTTTCTTTGCAGCAATTCGAAAAGAACAAAACGTTAAATAGTTAAGACTCCAACTCCTCTCTTTATCTCTGTTTTGAGACTAATGTTCATTTTTTTCTGTACAGTATTTGGAATAATTGCTACAGTACTCTTTGTTCATTGCTCGTGTTTCTTGGCCCAAGCAAGTATCTTCTTCTTATTGGTGTCCTTTAGTAGTGGTTTCTTTGCAGCAATTCGATCATGAAGGCCTGATTCACACAGTCTTGTCACGATCGTCAGGGAGAGAAGTAGACCAATGCGCAGCGTGATGAATGAACATGTTACTTTATTTAATAAAGCACGAAACAAAACAACAAACGACTCGTGACGTCCTTGGTAACAATGACCAACACGGAACAAAAACCCACAAACACAAAGTGAAAAACAGACAGTTAAATATGGCTCCCAATCAGAGACAACCAGCCAACAGCTGACACTCGTTGCCTCTGATTGGGAGTCACTAAGGCAAACATAGAAAACAACAAACCAGAACCCCCAACATAGAAACACACCACATAGAACAAACACACCCTGGCTCAACAACTAGAGTCCCATAGCCAGGGTGTGACAAGTCTCCTCTTAACAGTTGATGTTGAGATGTGTCTGTGACTTGAACTCTGTGAAGCATTTATTTGGGCTGCAATTTCTGAGGCTGGTAACTCTAATGAACTTATCCTCTGCAGCAGAGTTAACTCTGGGTCTTCCATTCCTGTGGCGGTCCTCATGAGAGCTAGTTTCATCATAACGCTTGATGGTTTTTGCGACTACACTTGAAGAAACGTTCAAAGTTCTTGAAATGTTCCGTATTGACTGACCTTCATGTCTTAAAGTAATGATGGACTGTCGTTTCTCTTTGCTTATTTGAGCTGTTCTTGCCATAATATGGACTTGGTCTTTTACCAAATAGGGCTATCTTCTGTATACCCCCCCCACCCCCCACCCCCCTCCCCTCCCTACCTTGTCACAACACAACTGATTGGCTCAAATGCATTAAGAAGGAAAGAAATTCCACAAATTAACTTTTAACAAGGCACACCTGTTAATTGAAATGCATTCCAGGTGACTACCTCATGAAGCTGGTTGAGAGAATGCCAAGAGTGTGCAAAGCTGTCATCATGTGTTATTTCATTGTTTTGATGTCTTCACTATTATTCTACAAAAAAATAGTACAAATAAAGAACAACCCTTGAATGAGTAGGTGTTCTAAAACTTTTGACCGGTCGTGTATGTATGTTGGTGTGACAAGCCTTTACAGCCAGTTTAATGCCAGGTCAATATAATAACCACAAATACAATCATATGAGTGACTTAACCGATGTATAGCCCAGCCTGGAGAAGAAGTGTGTATGTTAACAGATTGTATAATTTCTCACCAAAAGGGCAATGACATATGTATCCTGTCAGACCATTGGTGCAGTTGCCTTGGAGACAAGGTGCTGATGCGCAGTGGTTAACGGAACGCTCACAAAACTCTCCTGAAAAGAACAAAACGTTAAGAGTTAAGACTCCAACTCCTCTCTTTATCTCTGTTTTGAGACGAATGTTCATTTTTTTCTGTACAGTATTTGGAATAATTGCTACAGTACTCTTTTTGTGTAAAGCCATTGTGGAATGCAAGTGTTCATCTGACATATTAGCGTTGTGAGAACAATTAGTCTATTAGTAAGTTGACCTGCGTTGATCTAAGATTTGTACCCTCCAATTCTCAACCCTCAGTTTTAACATGCATTTGTACTGACTGGGTTACATGCATTATAGAGGAACTGTTTGTGCGTAAATCAATGTTGAGATGCAGGTTCAATATTACTTACCCTCATATCCAGGACTACAGTCACAGTGAACCCCATCATCCGTGTTCAGGCACGTCCCTCCATGTCGACAGTCGACCTCCAGGCATACATCCACGTCAGCCGAGCAGTACAGGCCAGAGAAGCCCCTCTGACAGTGGCAACGGAACCCTCCTGGATTATTAACACACACACTCTCGTTCTCGCAGGGTCTCTCGTCACACTCATCGATGTCTAATTCGCACAGGGTGCCGGCAAAGCCCGCTGAACAGGAACAATTAAAGATCTCATTCTGCGGTGACACAAAGATGACCGACGGGCTCTCCAGGACGAACACCTCTGGGCCGATGTGGACATTTTTGCTGCAGGTGGCCCCGTTCAGACAGGGGTTGACGAGGCAGGGGTCGCTGGTGATGTAGGACAGAGTGACGTTGCTCTGAGCCTCCAGGAGTCTCCGGTGGGCAGCAGAGATACTGCTGGCAACTTCTCCATTCAGGTGCTGACCGTTGTAACTCTTCACCGCAGCCAGGAGCAGGACTTTATCACCTGTAGGCTTAATCCCAAACATGTGAGTCTTGGAGGCCTGCAGGTTGAACAGGCTGTCCAGGGCTTTGACAAACTTCAAATAATTGAGAGACAAGAAGTCTTTGACCGAGGTGGACGCCACATAGAACAGTATACAGCTGTCCATGGAAGCGTTGGTAAAGCCTTTGTAGTTCACGTAGATACTGTTGTTAACGGGAGGGTGGAGGTGGTCGGTGGCCTCGATGGTGATGTTGTACGTAGCTTCTCCTGGTATGGAGAGGACCAGAGCTCACAGGTGCCGTCAGGGATACTGAACATGTTGAGAGGCCCGTTCCTGATACTGCAGTTAAACGCGTCCACCACATCCTGGTCCTCGGGTCTGACGTCGCCGATGAAGCCGCCGGGGAAGGCACTGCCATAGTACTTCACCTCGATGTAGATGTTTCTCGGGACCGATGGGTTGTCGTTCTCATCCTCGACTCTGACGTTAAACATCGTGGTGGAGGACAGCGGAGGAGTCCCTGCGTCACTGATCACCACCGACAGATGAAACACAGAGTTGACCTCCCGGTCCAAAGGTCTAGAGGTGGAAAGGACTCCATCAGAAGTTAGGGTGAAGCTCCTCCCTGAGGCAGGCTGGACCAGCCAGTAGGTGAACGGCCCCTGGTTGGGAGGTAGATCAGCGTCGGAGGTGTTCAGCCTGGCCACTATGGTGCCAGCAGGCTGGTTCTCCTTCACCTGCCCCTGTGTGTTGACCAATGTGGGGGCATTGTCATTGACGTCAGTAATGGTCACCACAAGGTAAGCGGTCCCGGTGGCTGGAGGAGAACCCTGGTCTGTGGCCGTCACAGTCAGGTTGTATAGGGGCCACAGTTCTCTGTCCAGGGGTCCACTGACAGACACAAGTCCACTGACAGGGTCTACAAAGAAGGATGAGTTTCCATCCTGTAGGAAGCTGTAGGAGAAGCGGCTCCACTCTGGGACAGAGTCCTGGTCCAGGGCAGCCACTCTGCTAACAGAATTCCCCACAAGGCTGTCCTCCCTGACCTCCGCCCTGTAGAGCACCGAGGAGAACTCTGGTGGGTCGTTAGTGTCCACTATATTGATGTGGACCAAGGCTTCGTCCACATCTAGCCCTGTGATGATGCCTCGGTTCTTAGCTAGGATTCTCAGGGTGGCATGGCTGTAGCCCTGCTTCCTCAGATCAGCGGTGATGTAGATCTCTCCGCTCTGTTCGTCTACATCGAAGCCTGTCCATCGGCTTTGTCCAATGAGTAGGTAGAAGACCAGTCCGTCCAGGCCTTCGTCAAAGTCTGTGGCGGTTACCTTGCCAACTCTAGTTCCAACAGGGACACTCTCGGAGACGGACAGGTTGAACTTGTGTTGCAGAAACACAGGGCTGAACTCGTTGACTCCTGAGACTTGGATATTAACGTGCGCGATGCTGAATGAATGGCGGTTCCCTGCGTCTGAGGCCTTGGCGGTTATTTCAAAGGTCCGCTTGAGCTCAAAGTCAAAGATATCCCGAGTGGTGATAGTGCCGTTCCTGGAGTCAATGGCAAACTGTCCAGAGTGTCCACTGGCCATCAGTGAATAGGTGATATATGCATTGGCGCTGGAGTCTGCATCGGTAGCTCTGACCTGGAGGACCAGTGTTCCAACTGCAGAGTTCTCCAGCACTGAGGCTGTATACTGCGACGATGTGAAGACCGGAGGGTTGTCATTCACGTCACTGACATTCACGGTCACGTTTACCGTCCCAGTCTTAGAGATCCAGCCTCCGTCTTTGGCGGTGATCTGAATACGATAAACTCCTTGTTTCTCATAGTCCAGCCTTTCGACCAGAGTGATCAACCCTGATCTCTGTCCTAAAGAGAACGGAGAATATTTGTTTCCTGATGCTATGGAATACGAGAGCACACCATTGACTCCATCGTCCCCGTCTTCGGCCTGGACTTTCCCAATGACTGATCCCACTGGCAGATCCTCAGGGACGGAGAAGGTAACATACGTCTCTGAGAACTGCGGGGAAAATTGATTCTCCCCTGTAATCTCAAATTGAACATCGGCATGTGATGAGAGAGGAGGGAACCCCTGGTCATTTGCCGTAACTACGAGCATCAACAGTGAGTTAAGGCTTTGCCTCAATGTCCTATTAAGCATCAGCCTCCCATCGTCCACGTTTATTACAAAAAAATCTGATGCGTTACCTCCGGCGAGACTGTATTCTATAGTAGTGTTGCTTTTGCTGTGATTGGAGTCCCGGTCCACAGCTGTTAGCCGCACCACCTCTGTTCCCATGGCGATGTTAAAGGGGATGGACAGGAGAGGCGGGAAAGGCAGGAAGCTGGGAGGGAAGTGGTTATACTGAACAACGGTTACCATGACCATGGTGTTACTGTACGAAGGAACGTTGCCGCAGTCGGAGGCTACAACTGTAATACTAAGGCTCAGAGAGGCAGACTGATGTAGTAAAGAGATGGGTTGCTTGGTGAGAATATCCCCAGTAGACGCATTGACCCAGAACCACTCACTGGGAGGGTCGATCAGATACACAATCTGACTGTTTTGTTCCAGGTCAGCATCCGTAGCGACAACTCTCATAACAAACACTTCCTGGGCCCTGGTCTCAGTGACAGTAGCGGTGTAGACCTTTTTAGTAAAGACAGGTTTATTGTCATTAACATCGGTTACGTCTATTGTCACATCTGTACTAATGCTCCAAGCTGAGTCGTTGGCGTTGACTTTCACCACATAATGGTCCTGGGACTCCCTGTCCAGGGACATCACCACTGTTATCCGCCCACTAGTCTTATCAATACTGAAGGGAAGAACGTCACCCCCCTGGTCAATTATGGAATAAGCAATCACAGCATTGGCACCGATGTCGTCATCTGTTGAGATGATCTGTAAGATGGTGTGTCCGATAGGAGAATCCTCCGGAATCTCAGTGAAGAAGATCTGTGTAAACCGAGGCGCGTGGTCGTTTGTGTCCAAAACCACCACTAGCACGACTGCAATGTCTTTATAGAAACTGTTGTTTTTGTCTGCAGCTACGATGGTTAAATGGTACTCAGGTATTTCCTCGCGGTCTAAAATCATTGTTGTACTCAGCATGCCATTTTCTGAATCGATGGTAAAAACATGGTCAATATTCCGCTCTAAAATGCTATACTGCACCTTTCCATAACTCCCAGAGTCTGCATCGATGGCGAGCACGTCACATACCCACGTCGCTGGAGAGTTCTCAGGTACCTCACACCTGTATTCACTCTGAGTGAACTGCGGTGCGTTATCGTTCACGTCGGTGACATTCACGTGAATCTCCGCATAAGAAGAGAACGGTGGGGAACCTGCATCTCTGGCCTCCACCAGCAGTAGAAACTCCCTGTTGGTCTCATAGTCCAGAGGGTGGTGGATGGTCAACTGGCCAGTGGCCTGCTGGAGGCGGAACAGGTGGTCAGAGTCTCCAGACACCAGGTAGAAGGAGACTGGACCTGGACCTGGTCTGGAAGTCTCGGCTGAGACCAGAGCCACCAAGGTTCCCTCTGGGTCCTCTTCAGAGAGAGATGGTCTGAGAACATCTACATAAACTGTGGGGAACTCTGAGGCATTCTGGAATCTGGTACGGAGAGGAAAAAAGAGAGAGGGGAAAATGCACAGCTGAGTTAGTGAGGACATCACCACAGTTAAAGAGTAACCCCCCTTTTATACACCCCTTCCCCACAACTCCCAAAGTAGACAAATAAAGATGAGAACTTTGAACCTGATGGTAACAGTTGTTGTGTCAAATTTAGGGTTGTCTCCCCAGTCTTCCACGTGCACGTTAATAGTGATGTCGTTTGTCACTGTGAGGGCACCAGAGGTGAAAATGGTTCCCCTGTGTGGGCTGATTAAGAACTGGCCAGTGTTCTGCCCGTATAAGAAGAAGTGGAGCTGTGCATTCATCCCTGAGTCACCATCCACTGCTCTCACCACACACACAACAGACCCTGCAGAACACGGGCACAAACAGCATTAAAACAAATCATAAACACATTGTACACCTATCATAATCGCATTAATAACGATTATTAAATTGTCAAAAACTCCTCGACGAACATGGCAGTAAAGGGCATTTGTAATAATATGTATTACTTAGTTCTTCTTGTTTATCTATGATATCTAAAATGGCTGCTGTTACTAAAACCCCTCACCTGGAGCTGTTCCAGCAGGCATGTTAGCCACATAGGGGCTGTGGAGGAACTGAGGCCAGTGGTCGTTGACGTCCGCAACCAGGACAGACACCTGTACAGAGCTGGACAGAGGCTGTGTGGGGTGTGTGTCCCTGGCCACCACAGTCAGTCTGTAGATTGCCACCGCCTCCCTGTCCAGCACGCCAGTGGTCAAAAGCTCCCCAGACGTGTCCTCAATAGAGAAGGGTCCATCAACACTCTCGATGGAATACCTGGAATACAGTTAACCATCAAATTACAGCACAGAATCAAAAATAATATTACAGCAAAAGATCTGACCATATATTAATTCTCAACTCCAGTGATGGGGACCCACAGAACTGTACCTTATTTGTCCATTGACACCATCATCCGCGTCATAGGCAGTGACCATGGCAAACACTGTGCCTGCAGGGCTATCCTCCGAGACGATGGTGGTGTAGACCTCCTCACTAAACACTGGCCAGTTGTCATTCATATCGTCCACTACAACATGGACTGTCACAGTCCCTGTCAGAGGCAGCAGGCCTGGAGAGACAAAACAACACAACAATATCAACATCAACAAAAAGTGACTTAAAGCCTGCAGGTATTATTCTTTATTACTTGCTATAAGCATGTATGAGCTTTTATGAAGCCTTTATTATAAGCTTTTCATTTGTGATGTCTCGACAAACATAAAATAACATCTTATACCAGATTCATTACTGCTCAGAGAGAGCTTAGCTAAATCGTACATCACACACAAATCACTGCATTCGGGATTCACGATGTGATAAGTATACAAATTAGGGACAGCTCTCATGTGAATACATTATACTTGTAAAGCAGAAAAAAACTTTTTTCTGATATTTCTTAAAGGAAAAACAACGTGTTTTTGTCATACGGAAGCAGAGATCCTGATTACCTGAGTCGACAGCCATGATGTCTAACGTGTAGAGTGATGTCACCTCCCTGTCCAGGCTCTGTAGCATGTGAAAGGTGCCGTTTGGAGACAGAGAGAAGAGACCCTCCCCGTCTCCTCTACCTATGAAGTACCTCAGCTGGCTGTTCACCCCTAGATCCTCATCCCTAGCTGATACCTGGTCACAATTGGGGGGGGGGGGGGGTGTAAGATTTTACTGAAAGACAACAGGTATAATGTATTCCTAATGTATTACTTGTATTGTAATCAACTCATGATACTACTGTATGTTATGTCATACTGTATGTCATGTGGCAATTGTTTAACAGACTCAAAATAGCTAATAATAACTCAATCATCATTATGTGAGATTACACTAAATGACAAATCTTACAATGCATTATGGCCGCATTAAAATTATGTTATTGTGACAGACATATCAAGGAGCTGGCCAATGCATGAAAGATTTGATTCTGGGTTCTGAGATTACATCAACCGCAACATCATCTGTTTGTCATATGAAGATGGAGGGTACTTCAGTCATATTAATCCAGGTCCTAACCAGGTCGTTATTATAAAGGATCACTTGTTCGTAATGACTTACCTAACTAAATAAGGGTTTAATAATAAACCAATAACCCTACCACAGCAGTTACCTGGTGGGAGAGCTGAGACGGGTCTCCGCCGTTCTCCAACACATGAAGCGTCAGTGTGTCTGGAGAGAACAGCGGGCTGCAGTCATTGACATCCAGGACAGTGATGTTGACCACAGCAGTGGCTGACCTGGGCATGCTGCCCTGGTCCATGGCTGTGACGGCCAGCAGGTGAAAGGAGGCTCTCTCTCTGTCCAGCCTGTCTATCAGGGAGACGACACCTCGGACTGAGTCCACCAGGAACTGACTCCCCTGAGACAGCTGGTAGCGCACCTGTCCATTTAGAGTTCAGAGTTCTTATGTTTACAAAAACATAAAATGTGTCTTCCCAGACAGACATTTCAGAACATTAAAAACAAAAACAAATACAATACATGACCAGAAGTATGTGGACACCTGCTCTCGTCGAACATCTCACTCCAAAATCATGGGCATTAATATGGAGTTGGTCCCCCCTTTTCTGCTATAACAGCCTCCACTCTTCTGGGAAGGCTTTTCACTAGATGCTGGAACATTGCTGTGGAGACTTGCTTCCATTCAGCCACAAGAGCATTATTGAGGTTGGGCACTGATGTTGGGCGATTAGGCCTGGCTCGCAGTCGGCGTTCCAATTCATCCCAAAGGTGTTCGATGTGGTTGAGGTCAGGGCTCTGTGCAGGCCAGTCAAGTTCTTCCACACCGATCTCGACAAACCATTTCTGTATGGACCTCACTTTGTGCACAGGGGCATTGTCATGCTGAAACAGGAAAGGGCCTTCCCCAAACTGTTGACACAAAGTTGGAAGCACAGAATAGTCTAGAATGTCATTGTATGCTGTAGCGTTAAGATTTCCCTTCACTGGAACTAAGGGGTCAAGCCCGAACCATGAAAAACAATCCGCCAAACCCAGATTTGTCCGTCGGACTGCCAGATGGTGAAGCGTGATTCATCACTCCAGAGAATGCATTTCCACTACTCCAGGGTCTAATGGCGGCGAGCTTTACACCACTCCAGCCGACGCTTGGCATTGCGCATGGTGATCTTAGGCTTGTGTGCGGCTGCTCGGCCATGGAAACCCATTTCATGAAGCTCCCGACCAACAGTTCTTGTGCTGACGTTGCTTCCAGAGGCAGTTTGGAACAGACGATTTTCAGCACTCGGTGGTCCCGTTCTGTGAGCTTGTGTGGCCTACCACTTCGCGGCTGAGATGTTGTTGCTCCTAGATGTTTTCACTTGCCAATAGCAGCACTTACAGTTCACCGGGGCAGCTCTAGCAGGGCAGAAATTTGACAAACTGACTTGTTGAAAAACATGGCATCCTATGACAGTGCAACGTCGATAGTCACGGAGCTCATCAGTGAGGCCATTTCTTAATTTTTTAATTTTTTCTCCCAAATTTTGTGATTACGATCTTGTCTCATCGCTGCAACTCCTCAATGGGCTCGGGAGAGGCGAAGGTCGAGTCATGTATCCTCTGAAACATGACCCGACAAGCCGCGCTTCTTAACACCCGCTCACTTAACCTGGAAGCCAGCTGCACCAATGTGTCGGAGGAAACGCTGTTCAACTGACGACCGAAGTCAGCCTGCAGGTGCCTGACCCGCCACAAAGAGTCGCTAGAGCGCGATGAGCCAAATAAAGCCCCCACGGCCAAACCCTCCCCTAACCCGGACGACGCTAGGCCAATTGTGCGCCACCCTATGGGACTCCTGGATCGAACCCCAGGCTGTAGTGACCCCGCAACACTGCGATGCAGTGCCTTAGACCGCTGCGCCACTCGGGAGGCCTCAGTGAGGCCATTCTACTGCCAATGTTTGTCTATGGAGATTGCATGGCTGCGTGCTCGATTTTATACACCTGTCAGCAACGGGTGTGGCTGAAATAGCCTAATCCACTATTTTGAAGGGGTGTCCACATACTTTTGGATATATAGTGTACATTAAATGTCATCCTAATGTCTCTTGTCTGACCCCGGGACATCTTATTACTGCACCTGTCCATTAGACCAATTGTTTTTATTCTGACCCTGGGACAGCTCATAGTACCACACCTGTCCGTTAAAGCCAATGTCCCCATCCAGAGCACGGAGCTGCAACAGGCTGGTTCCTCTGGGGGTGTCCTCTCTGACTGCCAGGCTGTAGTAGTTGTGTGTGAACTCTGGGTTGTGATCGTTGACGTCCTCTACATGCACTGTGAGGGCCACAGAGGAGGCCAGCGGAGGAGTGCCTCTGTCTGTGGCTGTCACAGTGACAGTCAGCGTATCCAACTGAATTTACATGACATTTACATTTCAGTCATTTAGCAGATCATTAAGTTAAAGAGGAAGTTGAGTATTTTACTTATTTAATGTGAGATGGTTCCTCACCCTGAGAGCTGGTTTTCTTTAAACAGCCAGTTTAAACTTCAGCTAACTTTAGCTAGCTAAAAATATGTGGGAGTGATAGGGGCATGGGGCACACAGGAGACGAAATCACCTTTAAGTAACATCAAACCAAGTAATTGAGTTGATTTTAGTAGATTTCAGTGCCTTCCCCTATCACTTCCATTGATTTTTAGCTAGTGATCGCTAAAGTTAGCTGAAGTTTGTAATGGCCTTTTAAAGAAAACCGAACCATGGATTAGAGTTTCTCCTGACCCATAAACTATTTTCAGGGTGAGGAACCATCAAAATTATAATATCCCCTTTAATTTCAAAGTAAGTTAAGTTTATTAGCAGATATTCTTATACCAAGTGCATTCAACTAGAACAGGTACCGGGGTCTGGACTAGTGGTAGTGTACTATGCATGGCAGTGGGGGTTTGATCCCCGGGTCTGCCACTTGTATGTCCTCTATCTATCTCAGATGTATCACATCCCCTATCCCAATAAATATAAAAATAAGAGAAAAAAACTAAAACTTAAGTAGGTAACACTACCACATAATGATAATTGAAAGTAAAACCATGCCACTATCATCAAAATCTGTGTTAGAAAGGGTAAAAAGTTAAAGTACAGTCAATTTACCTGCTCTCTGTCCAGAGGCTGCTGCAGATACAGACTACCACTAGTACGGTTGATACTGAACACATTGACTGACGTGTCCTCCAGAGTGTAGACGACGTCCCCGTTGGATCCTGAGTCCACATCCACTGCCTGTATCACCATGACAACAGTCTGGAGAGCAGTGTCTTCTGGGATGGTGACACTACGGGCTGACGTAAAAGACGGCACGTTGTCGTTTATATCGTCTACATTGACGACAACACGGGCTGTGGCAGTGAGGCGTCTAGAAATGGACAGAGCACGATCGGTAGCCTGGACTGTCAGATGGTAGTCTGAGCTGCTCTCTCTGTCTAACACTATGTTTAGGCAGAGAGCTCCGTCTGGGTTGATCGAGAATGTAGTGTCGCCATCTCCAGTTGTTACTTCTATGTTCACCTCTCCGTTCATACCTGACGGACAACATCAAGGAGGATTATTCAATACAAAGGATAGGGTCTCTGAAAGATACATAATCTATGATATCATGTAGTCTACCAATAAAATGGACAGATGGATAACTATCGTAGTTTGAATACAAATGTGCCAGACAATCATAGTCAGACTACATACAGTGCATTCGGAAAGTATTCAGACCCCTTGACTTTTTCCACATTTTGTTACGTTACAGCCTTATTCTAAAATGTATTAAATCGATTTTTTTCCTCATCAATCTACACACATTACTCCATAATGACAAAGCAAAAACTGTTTTTTGAAATGTTTGTAAATGTATTAAAAAATAAACTGAAATATCACATTTACATAAGTATTCAGACCCTTTACTCAGTACTTTGTTGAAGCACCTTTGGCAGTGATTACAGCCTCGAGTCTTCTTGGGTATGACGCAACAAGCTTGGCACACCTGTATTTGGGGAGTTTCTCCCATTCTTCTCTGCAGATCCTCTCAAGCTCTGTCAGGTTGGATGGGGAGCGTCGCTGCACAGCTATGGTTTGTCGAGATCGGTTTGTCGACATCGGTGTGGAAGAACTTGACATGCCTGCATAGAGCCCTGACCTCAACCCCATCGAACACCTTTGGGATGAATTGGAACACCGACTGTGAGCCAGGCCTAATCGCCCAACATCAGTGCCCGACCTCACTAATGCTCTTGTGGCTGAATGGAAGCAAGTCCCCGCAGCAATGTTCCAACATCTAGTGGAAAGCCTTCCAAGAAGAGTGGAGGCCATTATAGCAGCAAAGGGGGGACCAACTCCATATTAATGGCCATGATTTTGGAATGAGATGTTCGACAAGCAGGAGTCCACATACTTTTGATCATGTAGTGTACCTGTTGGTATACGGGTCTCACCTGCACTGCAGCTGTGACAAAGCCTGGCTGGACAACTGGGTCACGGGACAGAGACATGTCCAGGTCATTTTATGGAATGACGGGGAACCGGAGATGACATGTAAACAATAAAATGGCTTCCCCAGGTACTTGGAGACCAACTGTTCCCTGGACGTGGGCTTTGTCCTGTTCCTCTGCTTCTCCCTGGGCCTGCTCCTCTTCATGCTGGCGGTGCTGTTCCGTCAGCTGGCCTTCTGCCACATCCTCCGTGGCTAGCTGGAGTGGCGACCCTAGGGGGTGCTACCGCTACGATGGCGTTGCGTTGGGAGAGACAAGCGCTGGGTGATGGAGCAGCTGCTGCCGGGCCTGGCGCAGAGGGGGCCTCCCTTCCTGCGTCTGTCTGCGGCACCCGCCACACCCTGTGTGTGGTGAGTCGTCACTACCTGCGCAGTAACTGGTGTTCCCTGGAGCTGCGACTGGCCACCCACAGCAGACAGTCTTCCTGGAGGACATCCCACTTTGCCAGCTGTATGCCTACCACCGGCTGACCAGACTGGTCAAGACCAGGACCTACCTGAACTGGCCCCAGGACCCAGGCCTGCAGCAATAGAACACACCCATATACCGATAGAACACACCCATATACCGATGCACTACCTGTAGGCTTATTGTATCATAACAGGGGTATTTAGAATTGACAGACATGTTGCTTTTTACGTTCTGTTCAGTATTACCTGTATCTAGTACCTGTATCTAGTACCTGTATCTAACCAACATTCGGTGTATACAGTATAATAATGTATTTTTTAAACATTTTGTGTTGTTTTTTTTCTCTCTCACTCAAGAGATAGTTGTTTTATTAGTCATTTGCAATGAGCTCAACTACTGTTGAAATGATCATAGATCCGTGATCAAATGTCCAGGTTAATAATAATAATAGTGATTGATTTCATTTATACAGTAGCGCCTGTTTTCAGCAGACAAGCGTTGATGTGGCTTTGATCATGTGACGGGGCTGACTAGTAAATAGGATTGAAACTGGTAGTGCCTTGTCCGTTTGATACCTAATGAACACGACCCTGGTCTACACAGCACCTGTCTGTGTCAGGGGGTATGTTAAACATGTTGTTCCACACTCACCGTCGTCCGCATCGGAGACATTGAGAGAGAGGAAGCAGGTTCCCACAAGGCTGTCCTCTGGTACAGAGACGGAGTAAGAGTCCAGTCTGAACACTGGAAGGTTATCGTTGACATCCAGCACGTTAAAATAGACCCTGACTCTGCTGGCCCCTATGTCCCCATGCTTCACTACCACTGTCAGGATGTAGAGTCTCTGGGTTTCGTAGTCCAGGGAGCGTGACAGCAGAAAGTCACCAGAGAGAGGGCTGAGCAGGAACAGACCCTCCCCATCGTCCTCCAACACAGAGAAGATGGTGTTCGTCAACCCTTTGCTGTGCTCTCCTGCTTCCACGTTCCCCACTATCGTTCCTGTCAATACATGGAATAAGACAGTACACTCAGGATGAAATTCTCTGATGGGTCTGATGGTTTGGTAACTTACTATTACCAATGCTGGTTCCAATGGCTCAGTGGGGTTAAAGTATGGTGCTGGCAACACCAGTGTTGTGCGTTCATTCCCCACATGGGCCACGCACTCATAATTGGCAATGTGTCATCATCACCATTCTCCAACATGAGGGAGGTGGAGCACACCAGGAGGTATTTAATCCTCTAACTGAAATAGGCGGGGGAGTTGGTGGAATTTCAATTAAAGCCTTGAGGTTTAAAACATTAAAAGAAATACTGAGCATTAACATTTGTCAATAACTTCCTAAGCCGAGCAGTCAGTAAGAGTCAGCCTGAAGACTTCGTAACTGAGGCGTGTGACTCTGGATTAAAGAACAAACACAAACATGTATGAACAACCTTTAAATTATCTGCATTTAAATATCTGAGAGAAGGAAAGAGGTAAACACTGCTCTACCTGGTTGTGTGTCCTCTCTCACTTGAAAAGAATAGACAGGTCTGGAGAAGGACTGTGGTGTGAGGCGTCTGTGTGGAGAATGTGTAGCGCCTGGTTTGTTGTTGCCAAGCCAATGAGATCTCTGGTACCAGGAGGACAGAGGGTGCCGCTCCACCAAGGTCATATTGGACCACTTGTCTTGGTTGCTGGCAGCTTGGCTAGCATCGGCCATATTGGAAAATGGCATTCCATAGAAAAATATGTAGTTGACAACCTGTTAAAACAGACAAAGCACACCCCGATGAAGGCATTAGAGCGGAAATGTTCGTGGCAATCCAATAAAGTTCATTGCAAACGGAGTGTGACTTTCCTTTATAAAAATGTAAAAAAAATCATACATATAATTAAATGAATGTCCAAATATGTGTGGTTCAGTATTTTATATAGAAGCAATAGAATAACTACTCCAGTGTGGATACCTGTATATAATTAATGTTGATATTGAGTAACATTTTGAAGGACAAAACATCTATGGTAAACTGAAACCTACATCAACCGGAACAGAAGCTTCTTAGTCCCTCAGTCCAACACAAAGAGGAGAAAACAACCTTTGTGGCAGACCTTTTCTGAAGGCAGTAACATTATACTTTGAATAGGAGGCGCTGGACTTTAGCCGCTCCACTTTTTTCTCTATTTCTTTTTCACAGTACCAGAGACCAGTCTTGAATATGTTTAATTCTTCTCCTCCCCTGGGATCCTGCCTTTGACAGTCCCTATAATGCCAACTTGTTCTGCTACTTCTGACCGAGTGAGAGGACTCTATAACCGTTTCTGTCTGCTGCTTTCTCCGTTTTTCAATTGGAAAACTTTTCTGTTTGAACAGGAGTTCATAGCCGTTTTTATCTCAATATCAAATCATTTCTGGGTAACAATTAAGTACCTTACTGTGATCGTTTTCAATTCAAATGGTCAAAAATAATGTGGAAATATATATATATATATATATATATATATATATATATATATATATATATATATATATATATATATAAAGCACAGGAAAATTGCATTTTTGACAGCTGTCATTGAATATGAATGACTCAAAATTGTAATTGTTTTTTTTCCTCATGAGAATTATGCATACATTGAAGAATAAAAAGACAAAACAATTGAAAAATGTTGGTAGCTATAATTTAATTTGCATTGAAAAGGCAGCACAGAACTAACCGTGGTGGACTATTGGGCACTGACTGGAATTTGGAAGTCACTCCAAAGGTACATTGGACTACAACTAGGCAATACAAGACTAGACATTTCGGGACTTCAGGTGAAGAATAGAGATATTATGAAAGCAGGTTGAATAAAAAAGAAGATTTGATCTCTAATCAAAAAAGGAGAATGCTAAACATGGTCTATGGATCTCCTAAAGTCTTGACTGATTGTCGTAATTCGAGGAAACTTACCATTAGATAAAAAAGAAACGTTTTGCATTTGATCCATGATCCAGCAGTGTCCATTTTCGTGATCAAAGACACAGTATGAACCACCCGAGCGCAAAGTTACCTCTCCATTGGTGTTTTCACTCAAGTGATGATGAAGTGAGAGAACCGCATGCATTTAGATCACGTAAATGTGTCCTGGGGGGGTACTGTCCGTGCTGGCTGCATTCATGTAGACTAGTCAAATAGTTTGTCGCAGCACAGGCAAGGGGAAACTTATTGTAGCCTATCGCGGGTGAAACTAGCTAATAATGAGCCGAACGAGCTACTGTCGCCTACGATTGAACGTCTGTCTGACTTAAGCAACACCTGATTAATGTCTGCGTGACACTTGTCTTAAAACATAGAATTGAGCTATATTGTTCATCTGCAGGCTATTATAATACCATAAGCCTCTCAACTGCGGGAGGTCTACTCTACTCATACCATTTTGATTAGATTCCGCTATGTAAACACCATGGCAATTATGCACACACTTACAAAAAAAGATTGCAGTTTTGAAACTGCAATAAAAGTGCAGTAACTGCAGTCGACTGTGGTATTTTGGACGCAGTAATTGCAGAATAACTGCAGCGGAGGACAAATCATATCAAATTGTATTCATCAGCAAAAGTACTGCAGTAAAAAAAAGGTGTTATTTTGGACGCAGTATTTGTAGTGTACTGCAGTTATACTGCAATCTTTTTTCGTAAGGGCTCCGATAGTAATTACACTGAGTGTACAAAACATTAGGAACACCTGCTCTTTCCATGACATAGTCATGACCAGGTGAATCCAGGTGAAAGATGTCACAGTTGCGACCATGATATATTGGCCTATGACCGAGACAATAAGAAGACACAGTGTCAGAATAAATTCAACCACGCCTTTGTTTCATCACAAAACCGGAGAGCAACCTCTGTTCGGTGAAGTCCACAAAGTATATTGCATATAATGAAAACAGTTAATTGAAATCAGTTCATTAGGCCCTAATCTATGATTTTACATGACTGGACAGGGGCGCAGCCTTGAGTGGGCTTGGGAGGGCATAGGCCCACCCACTGGGGAGCCAGGCCCATCCAATCAGAATTCGTTTTTCCCCACACAAGGGCTTTATTACAGACAGCAGTAGTCCTCAGTTTCATCAGCTGTCTAGATGGCTGGTCTCAGACGATCCCGTAGGTGAAGAAGCCAGATGTGGAGGTCCTGGGCTGGCGTGGTTGCACAAGATATGCGGTTGTGAGGCCGGTTGGACGTACTGCCAAATTCTCTAAAACGACGTTGGAGGCGGCTTATTGTAGAGAAATGAACATTCAATTCTCTGGCAACAGCTCTGGTGGACATTCCTGCAGTCAGCATGCCAATTGCAAGCTCCCTCAACTTGAGACATCTGTGGCATTGTGTTGTGTGACAAAACTGCACATTTTAGAGTGGCCTTTTCTTGTCCCCAGCACAAGGTGCACCTGTGTAATAATCATACTGTTTAATCAGCTTCTTGATATGCCACACCTGTCAGGTGGATGGATTATCTTGGCAAAGGAGAAATTCTCTCTAACAGGGATGTAAACAAATGTGTGCACACAATTTGAGAGAAATATGCTTTTTGTGCGTATGGAACATTTCTGGGATCTTTTATTTCAGCTCATGAAACATGGGACCAACACTTTACGTGTTGCCTTAATATTTTTGTTCAGTATAGAAACACATGTTGACTCACCCTACTTGTAGAGAAACGCCAATGCCATCCTCCTCTCTTTCATGTTGACGAAACAGTCTATGACTCTGTCATACAGTACACACTTTTATTTTTTGTTGTCCTAGGCTACCTGGCTAGTTAACATTAGCCTTCTACATCTAGCTAGCTACATATTTAATTTCCATCCTCTCAGTCCAGGGGCACAATTTATGAATTTATGGTTGGATCAGAATCACCGTTATAATCACTGGCCAGTACGGAGAATTAAGTAAAACCACAAGTCCAAATCCCTATCTCCATCCAAGACTAATTTAGTAAAGGGCCAATTTTAGCTAGCTAGCTAGCCACCGGAGGACAAATCAAATCAAATTGTATATGTCACATGCGCCGAATACAACAGGTGTAGACCATACCGTGTGTTACGTCTACTCCCGCTCCCCCTCACCGGCGCTCGACGTGAGACTCACCTGGACTCCATCACTTCACTGATTACTTCCCCTATATCTGTCACTCCCTTACGTTCATTAAACAGGCAGTATTGATTATGTGTTTCATGTCCAGACGCTACTCTTGGTTTGTATCGTTCCATGTTCATTGTTTTATTAAACTTACCACCTGCTTCGACTGCGATTGGATACCCAATTTGTTTATTTTATGGTTCGCACAAAATATAATTGAGCATGTCAAGTTATGGTCAAATACTGTATGGAAAATGATATTTACCATCTATAATCCTGTTATTCAGCACTTAAAAAATACAGTTTTTAAATGTGTATCTTGTATTTTTTGCTATTGGATTAAATATGAGTCAAAAGGACTAAACGCCTATTATTATCTGATGTATTGGTGACTAAACTAAATGTTCTCATGGTATAACTTTGATTTTGCATGAATGACTCAGGAGTGAAAGATGTGTTCAACTCCAATGAATACACAATCAAAGGTTCTGAACATAAGACAGGGAGGGAGTATTACAAGTGCTATCAGTTTAGAGTTTTGTACTTAGATTTGAAAATATACTGCTTACATCAGAAAAATGTGTCAAAGTGATTGAAAATTGTAAACATCTGTATCCTGAAACTGTTTTCCAATAAAAGCTATTTACTGTATGTACTGACAGAGGGGCTTTTTAAATGTTGTCTCTGTAATGTACCTTATAATATAGGAGACCTCCTTCGCTGGTGTAGATGGACGTCATAAGGATGGGCTCCTACATGTGCTCATCGATGTTGCCCTCCAGTGGAGTACACACCTGGAACTCCTAGGACACACACACAAACAAATGTATACCAATGTAGCTCTCCAGAAGCAGGGTAAGAGAATGTAGTTAGTAACAAGGGCCCAACGACTCTCAGAGTAGGAGGATCAGATCACCTCTGTCCTTATAATATGGTTAATTATGATCTTACCTTCTGCAAATTCTTAGTCTGAATTTTTCTCTTGGGTCAAAGTAAATTGTTATCTTGGGATCTAGGCTACTTGTATCAGCTGGTATATATTAGCTTCTACACATGCTCAGTGAAGTTGCAAGCCCTCCAGTGGCCACCAACACTCTCCTCCAGCCTGGTACTGTAAATCCTAGACTGACCGGCATACAGACAGACATACTGGCAGACTGGTCAACAGAATAAAATGCAAATGTTGTAGCTAATGGTGTAATTACCTTGACATGCTTTTCAGATAGTGGCTAGACAGAAGCCACAATGTTCTTTATTCCAAATGGAAAAGTAAAATAAATAGAAACTAATCAAGCTAATTTATACAGTAAAACGGTTTGCTAGCCAGTTAGCAGAACACACTGATGCCTCACCATAGCCAGCTATCTAACATAGCTAGCTAGCTACATATAAGGAATCAAATTGAGTACCACAGGTTGAGTCAAAATACCCATAAAACCTAGCGGTAAAACCCGGAAATGGTTCCAATCGTTTTTTCACCATTCATTTTTTCACCATTCAATAGACTTTAGTGAACAGCACACTCAAATTCACGAGTCAAACGCCCGGAGGCGAGAAAGTCCGCACACAGGCGAAAACCAAAAGGCGCACAAAACTGTGC